TCACTCAGAGTTTGAAGGGTTATGGGCCGGGAACGCCAGTTTGAATTTGAGATAGTCCAGGGAGTGCCGGACTCATAAATCGAGAGATTCTGCTGTTCTACCGGGAGTGCCAAATCGATGGATTACCCGTGAGTGGGGTAAACTTGTGAATGCATACCGTTTTATGATATGAACGATGCATACCGAAATACATTAGTAGAAATATACTTTATACACAAACGAGTTATTCAGAGTTATTGACTGTGTTTACAGTTGCAGCTAGGGAGTCTACTCACGATGCGGATGTGTTTACCGATAAAGCGCTTAAGAAGATCAAAACTATTAAAGAATTTTTGCAGTTGCAATGAGTCTATAATACCACCAAAATGGCAAATGCGCAAGTGAGAGTGACGTTAATAGAGAGCGTGGGAGGCGGGGAGACCATGTGTCAGAACATCTTCACCTGGATTGAAAATGTAATAAAACCGATCTCATAATTTGAGGGATTCTTTGATGTAATATTGATGGATTATTATGAATATGTACATTTTTAACTTTTTATACAGTTTAACTTAAAATGCATTAATTAAACATTAACTTCCCGGAACTTTTGAACCGGGACTAAAAATTTATATGAATATGTACATTTTAAACAGTCATTTACTTTAATGCATAAATACGGTAATGACGTTGACGAGCGGTACTCCTTTGTTCTCGTTTCATTTGCCTGGTACCGGGAGCGCCAAATCCCGTGTCAATGAACCGTGTCTGAGCCCTTACTGGTCCCGGGAACGCCAAGAGGATTTTCCCTCGTAAATATCAAATTTGGCACTCCCGGGGCGACACTGTTTGAAGAGCACCAGTATCCCTCAAAACGGAAATGGGTTTAAGATTGGAATTGTCACATTTAGCTGACACAAAACCTATCCAAAGAAAAGGTGAGTACTCCTCTCTCACAACAACATACTTTGTTGACTGGTCTACAACAGCTAACTCCTCATAAGCCGAACAACAAAAAGGTTGTGACTTGACATTCACAACAGCATTTGGGGAAGAGGTGAGATGAAATGGGGTTTAACGTCGCGTCCAAGATTATTGCACTTATATAGCGACGTGCATGTACCTGTGTGTGTTTGTGTGGCTGCTTGTATTAGTCCGGACTGATGCCGATTTATAGTGCTAGCTCACTGAGATACCATGGCGCAGTTTAACATGAATACCCCACTCAGACACAGTATACTGACTCCGAGCCGACCAGCCCTTGTTTAAGCCCCTTAATGCCGAACGCCAGACAGGGTAACAACAAGTACCATCTTTTAACGTCTTTTGGTATGACGCGGATCGAACCCCGGACCTTCCGCTCTCCGGGCGGACGCTCTACCACTAGACCACGGAGGCGGTCTCATTTGGGGAAGAATGAGTGTTGTTCTTGAAAGCGAGTTTTCTACACTCAGGAATGATATGCCCTGGCTTGTGGCAATATCTACATGGAGGCTCTGACGAAAATCCAGAAGTACTTTTATAAAAACAACTTGACCTTTTGTCAACAAACTCAGAACCAGGCTTGTTGGGACTAGATCTGGTGGGGCTGAACTATCCTTTCCTGATTTGTAAACCTGAGACCTCCTGCCTGTAAACCCTGACTGCTTAAAATTAACTAATCCGCTTTCTGCTCATCAAGATTTGTCAGAATGTCTGTTGGTCTGAACTGGTCTGGAAGCTAGTTAGACCATATAAATGGAGCGGGCGCGTGCCTGTCTCATCTCACATCTCACCTCACATTTCATCTGACATTATATCAAGACCTGCAGTGTAGTGAAGATCACCTCTCCCACGGATTCCCAGCCTAGGCCAATCTCGGAAGCTTGACAACTGTTGCAGCGAGGTGATTCATGTCATTGTCATTTCCACTGCTCCCACATTTTATACTGCCATTGCATATTGTACTACCACTCTACTGTGCATTGTCATTGTAACAGCAGTGCAAAAAATTGTATTGATTTGTAAACCTTGTTAATTTTGTAATACAATTGTTGATGGAATATCATTTGTTGTTTATTGGTTGGTTTCACACAATATGCTTTTACGTACAGCTTTCGGGGTAATATATTGTTTGAATTTGGGAACTGACACACGTAACAGAAATTTGGAGCCCGTCCGGGATTCATATATCAGAAATAATTTGTCAAATTATTTGATACACATTTTATTCTAATATTGGATGAAGTCAACAATCACTAGTGTTTAGTGTAGAGGAGTGTAGGCCAAGCAGAGAAAGAAAGAGAGGAATTAGGCTTAGAGAAATGGAAGCAGAAAAAGAGAAAGAAAAAGAAGAGAGAGCATTTCGGCTTAAAGAAATTGAACCTGAGAAAGGAAAAGAAATATTGAGAATTGAAGCTGAGAATGAAATTTGGCACAAACAACTTGAATTTCAGAATCGTCTATCTCATCTAACCTCAACATGTGATGGATCGTCAAAAGTTTCCAAGCAGATTAGACTTGTTCTCCCCTTTTCTGAACGTGATTTTAAGAAGATTTACCTTATTTTAAAAAGGTGGCTAACAGTTTGAACTGGCCTCAACATCAGTGGATGTTGTTCCAAAGTGGACCATGTTGTTCCAATGTGGACCATGTTGTTCCAAAGTGGACCATGTTGTTCCAAAGTGGACCATGGTGTTCCAAAGTGGACCATGTTGTTCCAATGTGGACCATGTTGTTCCGATGTGAACCATGTTGTTCCAAAGTGGACCATGTTGTTCCAAAGTGGACCATGTTGTTCCAAAGTGTACAATGTTGTTCCAAAGTGGACCATGTTGTTCCAAAGTGGACAATGTTGTTCCAAAGTGGACCATGGTGTTCCAAAGTGGACCATGTTGTTCCAAAGTGTACCATGTTGTTCCAAAGTGGACCATGTTGTTCCAAAGTGGACCATGGTGTTCCAAAGTGGACCATGTTGTTCCAATGTGGACCATGTTGTTCCGATGTGAACCATGTTGTTCCAAAGTGGACCATGTTGTTCCAAAGTGGACCATGTTGTTCCAAAGTGTACCATGTTGTTCCAAAGTGGACAATGTTGTTCCAAAGTTGACCGTGTTGTTCCAAAGTGGACCGTGTTGTTCCAAAGTTGACCGCGTTGTTCCAAAAGGGACCGTGTTGTTCAAGAGTGGACCGTGTTGTTCCAAAGTGTGTTCAGGGCAAAAATCCAGGAAGTTGATTGTACCGATTATATTGCTAACCCACTGAGATAATATGCTGTTGTTTGATATGAACACCCCACTCAGACACAGTATATTGACTCCGAGCCGACCAGCCCTTGTTTTAGCCCCTTAATGCCGAACGCCAAACAGGGTAACAACAAGTACCATCTTTCAACGTCTTTTGCTATGACGCGGCCTGGGATCGAACCCCGGACTTCGCTCTCCGGATTGACGCTTTACAACTAGACCACGGAGGCGGTCTCGCCAAAAATGAATATTTGCACACTGTAGCCATTGAAGCTAGGGTCCCAGGCAGTGCGTCGTGTAGTTATTCAAGACTGTGAGTTGTTTCATCACCTCAGCCTTATCATCATCTCAGGTGGGGCGGTCGGGTAGCCTAGTGGTTAAAGCGTTGGCTCGTCACGCCGAAGACCCGTGTTCGATTCCCGACATGGGTACAATGTGTGAAGCCCATTTCTGGTGTCCCCCGCCGTGATATTGCTGGAATATTGCTAAAAGCGGCGTAAAACCATACTCACTCACTCACTCATCATCTCAGGTAATAATTAGTAATCTAATATGCTCTCTCTAATTGGTAACTACGTCTTTAATCCTTGTCCGATAATTTAAACGGCTTTTGATGCCTTAATATGTTTGTATCCTGAACTTGGTTTGGGATGTTTGAGAATGATTTTTTGTTGTTGTTTGTTTGTTTGTTGTTTAACGCCGCACTCAGCAATATTCCAGTTATATGACGGCGGTCTGTAAATAATCGAGTCTGGACCAGACAATCCAGTGAATGACATCATGAACATCGATCCACGCAATTGGTGTACGATGACATGCATCAACCAAGTCAGCAAGCCTGACCACCAGATCTCGTTGTCGCATCTTACGACAAACATAGTCGCCTTTTACGGCAAGAATGGGTTGCTGAAGACTGTTTAGGATGAACAAGATTTAGATTTATTTATCACAGCAAAATGATACAATAGTCAAATTATCAAGTGCATGAAATGTCTAATTATGTTTGGGTTGGACAATATTATCACTTACCGACTTTTAATAGTATCACACAACAATCGACGTTTGTCTTCTGATATGCTTGATTTTATTGCATTGAGATTAAATTTCCTCAAGTTTGTTTGTTGTTTTACGCCGCACTCAGCAACATTCCAGCTATATGACGACGGTCTGTAAATAATCGAGTCTGGACCAGACAATCCAGTGAATGACATCATGAGCATCGATCCACGCAATTGGGATCGATGACATGCTTCAACCAAGTCAGCGAGCCTGACCGCCCGATCCTGTTAGTCGTATCTTACGACAAGCATAGTCGCCCTTTACAGCAAGCATGGGTTGCTGAAGACCTATTTTACCCCAGATCTTCACGGGTCTTCTGTATTCTGAATTAATGTCACTCTATTCTCTTCTCTTTTTTTCTATTTCTGCTTCAATTGTGAATAAATAGAGTTGCGTCCTTAGGGCACGCCAGAAACCTATGATTGTGGGTTTGAATCCCGGTTCGCCCCGATCAGCACCATACCCGTGCTCGTGGGTTTCAGCGAAGTGGTAAACTTCTGAGACCTGCATCACTTCGGGCTATTCCTCCCACATTAAGCTGACACGCCGTGATATAACTTCAATACTGTTCAAAGCGGCGTTAAACCCAAATCACTCACTCTCACCTCGGCTATCGTCCGGAGTTCAAGGGAATAAACCGAGTGCGTTGGCAAGATATCCCGTTCGCGGAACTCTGTACGATGTTACCGAGGGTGCGCTGGAAGGAGCTTGTCCGAGTGGTTTCTAAGGGAAGTAACTCTTTAAAACTTCCTGTACAAGGGGATTCGTATTCCAAAACATTGTGTTAGATTCGCAGAACTTTTGGGCTTGTGTGTGGTTTGTATGATCGTTTTGTTCTCAGTAATAGCTCAATATACTCTGATGAACATGCAATGAGACCTCTTAAGACAACGTTATACACAATAACGAGGTCTAATTGTTTTTATCACCAAGAAAACGAAAATGATTTTTCTCGGTCTATTCACAGTCTGCTCAGTGTTGTGAGTGTGTTGTAATGATAGGACCTCCAAGTCAAGTGTACCCTCTCAGAGTCAGATTTCGGGAAGTAAGGAAGTCGGTCTATTCACAGTCTGCTCAGTGTTGTGAGTGTGTTGTAATGATAGGACCTCCAAGTCAAGTGTACCCTCTCAGAGTCAGATTTCGGGAAGTAAGGAAGTAATAGTCGATATGTAAATGTAACAACGCAGTTTACCGAGCGCAGCTTACAAGCTCAGTTACCGACTGTGGGTCTCGCTTCACAGATCTCGAGTGCCTCTTCGATCCTTGGGGGTTAAGGTAGGTTACCCCTCCCCCAACTCTTTCCTTAGCCCTTCGACCCCCTTTCCGATCAAGCGTTTCTTTACCATCGGGAAGGCTTCCGCCCGTACCCCTCCTCCCAAACATATATATGAAGACCACAGGAACTAGATGATAGCGTGTATAACATAATATATTCGTATAGAAAAAAATCACACCCCTCTATATACATATACATAGAGTCTATATGTATATAGAAAGGTACGTGTGATTTTTTCTCTCTATACGAATATATTATGTTATACACGCTATCATCGAGTTCCTGTGATGAAGGCCTATATGATTGCCTCTCTATCCTTAAGTTATATATATTTTATATGGGGATACTAGGCTAGTTTTATCCCCGCCTCAAAAACATATATCATTGGAAGAAAGAAGAATACATGTATATATAAATTTGGAGGAGGGTTACAAGCAGAAGTCTTTCTGGTATAAAGCTCTTTTAACAAATCAATCCAGTGTAACTGCAGAAACTCAGTAAAACTTTCATCAAGTTTAGAGCTTCAGGGGAAAAAATGGCTGCTGTGCATGTGCATAAAGGTAGACAATCGGGTAGTGATGACTTGGTAAAAGAGCACAAATTATTGGTGATAGCGCCCATGGTAGGGTGTGGGCTAATTAGATTAACTTATTAGCTTAGCTTCAAGCTGGCAACATGAGTTCGATGCTCCACGCGGTGCGAATTGAAATCCAACAAGTGACAGTCTACAGCAATTTTTAAATTTACCTCAGTATCTATTCAACACATCTTTGTGATCACCTTTCAGTGATCAGTCAATTGATCAATGAAGACTAACACTTGTTATCACCTCAGTCTTATTTACATTGCATCTTCGGAAGTCGTTCCCGTTCGGTTTATTGTGTCGGCCATTATGACTTCCTTTATTTGATGTAAATGTGTTACAATGCACTTATCAAAGTGACTGACTTATGTCGGAAGTTCTTAACAGATCTTTTTCATCTAATGATGATGTAATTTTAATCTATTTGCTATAACAAACTACAAAAGATGTCCTTCGGGGCAAGTTGATAATTGATTAAAATATGTGAAGCAGCACTATCCTAAGACGAGTAACTAGGATGTGGTGTCATAATGCATCACAAATTTACCTCTGGGAAGCCCATGTGTCCAATACTGTCCATCCATATTTAATTTCTGTATTGATTTTTAAAGGGTAATATTTACAAAGTTTTGTTTTAACCGAGCCTAGTGATAATACTTGGGCTGGATTTACCTTACAGCTCACAAAACAAATGGCTAAATTTTATGTTAATTTTTATCATTATCTGTACTCTTAGAAATTAACCCACCATTCAAGTTTAGGCTTTCAAAAAGAAAAGAATTGGTTCTCAGGCAATGGTTTTTGAAAAATATAGTGCAGGCGTTTTTTTGTTTTTCAAACTTTTATGGAACCAAATAAACAGTTGTGTAACCAAATAAACAGTTGTGTACAATCAACCTGGGAAAGGGCCTCCCTACACAAATGTATTCCTTGATGAGTAAACTCTTTGACTAGCCTTGGAATATTTAAGAATTTTTTATATTTCTTTTTTAAAAATGTAAATACATGTAAAAACAAAATGTGCGGTAAAATTTATGATAATGCGGGCAGTGCCTGAGAGCCAAGAGTATTATTTTTTTAGCCTAAGCAGCATCTTCAATTTGTTGTACTGCATGAAACATGAAGAATTCCATGCAAAAATGTAGCAAAGTCTCAAGATAGGTATGGTATCATCACTCAACCTTGATCATATTAATTTACAATAGTTTGGACAGTATGTCTCTACAGCTTGATCTGCCTACACAATAATCCACTTATCAAGACAGACCAGGGTAGGTTGATTCTGCATATGAAGGAGACCCGTAAAGATCCGGGGTAGAATAGGTCTTCAGCAACCCATGCTTGCTGTAAAGGGCGACTATGCTTGTCATAAGTGGTGAGTAACGGGATTGGGTGGTCAGGCTCGCCGATTTGGTTGATGCATGTCATCGATCCCAATTGCGTGGATTGATGCTCATGATATAAATCACTGGATTGTCTGGTCCATGGTAACAATGAACAATGACCAGGTAAACATTTCAGTTTTAAACTTTTAGTGGAACAGTCTGCTTCATATCAGCATTATAGGTCTGCATTGGTCATTTTTATATATACACATATAGTCTGACTGACCTGAAAAAGAATGCAAAAATAATTGGATAAATATTATTAAATAACTGCTTGAGACGCCCAACGCTAACACCGTAATCATGCGTGCGTGATTCCCGTGCAACCTTTCGAGTTGAGTTGATTGGTTCAACTGTGTCATATGGCCCTGTGACGCAAGGGTAGCATTATGCAGATGGCTGTTACAATGAATGCTCGTTCCACCCGTGACGAACAGGTCTGGTTGTTGATGAAATATAGTGATAGCTAAATAGACAGATTTTTTATTCATGCACCAATTGTCTTTAAATGTAATATCCAGTTATGTATGACTGTTTAATAATCTCATACCAACTTTGACTGGAGTAAGTCCAATAGTTTTTCAGATATTGTAGTAAACGTCGGTACCTTAAATTAACTTCCAGACTATACCACTGCTATACGTAATCAGATAATAATTAATTTTATTATGAATCAAACCATTGTGATACTTTTGAGTCGCTATATATTATATCAGTCCTACAATTTTCAATCAAAGACGTAAAAATAATAGTAAAAATATTGTTGAGTTGATTGGGCTGAATTTAGAATCTATGAGTAAAAAATTCACAAAAATATTTGATAAAATTACGTAGTGGATCATGTAGCCTCCTTCACATTATTGACCCCATGAGGATCTGCATTAGAACTTGTCTTCAGATTGTCTTGTTCGAACTCGAGTATTTACAGAGAGCATTAATCATACAGCTTGCATATTGCTGAGTGTGACAACACTCGAGAAACGACAGACCAGAAACTAGTGCTTTTAGCCCTGCTGTATGATTGTTGGTGTGTTGCAGTCAGATCGACCTGAATCATGGATCCCGAGCTGCTCAAGGGGAGGAATAAGTTCCTTCAGCGAGCCAAGGCTCAGCCGTCCGTAGAGAAGAGAAAGCACAAAGCTGATGAAAATGATCACAAGTCCAAAAAACAGAAGATCAAATCATCGGCGCCCAAACCCAAACGTAAGTATTGATCATTCAGGCCTGTCTACAATATACACAGCAGGGATTCCGAATTAGAACTGGTCCACAGCAACCCATGCTGGGCCCACTTGCACAAAGCAATCTTAGCGCTACAACTATTGTAAGCCTGTGTTAAAGTATGGGAGTTACGATCATCTAGTTGGACCTGATACACAACCAGTTCGTGATTCATTCTACGACCTTGTAGTTGGGTTGGGATGGGTACTCGGGTCGGGTGGGTACTGAGAAGGACCCAGGTACCCACAAGACTACCCGAACCTGTGGTTAGTCACGTGATATATTGTTTAATGACCAAAAATATCTAAAACTCCATGGTTACACTACAAGTCAGTAATGTTTGCATTTCTTCTGACTTTCATATGTTAAAGCTTCAGTCAACTTCAGTGTATACATGCATAACCAGATTGTTTTATTTGTGTATCTAAATACTTTTTGCCAAGGCTACGTGTATCTAAAGCCTAGGTCAAACTATTCCCAATCGGACAGTTTGTACCTTCTCTTGAGACCTACAGTACGTCCCCGGGTAGGGTCGTGTAATAGGGGGTGGTTACCCGGGTAGTAAATTTGGACTCATCCCAGCCCTACCTTGTAGCATGTTGTCGGAAGCAGCCTGTCCTTCTCGTCAGGATGACGATTGCTTTTGACTTCATTTATCCCAGATATCAAAACTATAATTGACACATCACTCTAATCACTTCCACCCATCAAGACAACCATAGCTACCACGCATGACAATACTACACTTACAGCTGACAGAACATCCACCAGATTCATGTGTCAACAGTGACTAAACACTACTGGGAATTAGAGTTGTCTCCCTTGCATCACCAGCTATTCCCAAATGTCTCAATTTTGGGTTGGCGTCTGATTGAGAAACAAGAAATTGTCTTTATCAACATTGTCATGCATTATATGTAAACAGTTATGGAAACAATATGTAGATGTATGATGTCAGTGTGCAACTGGAATAATCTCCCAAGTTGTGTTGGGGGTATGGGAGCCTATTTGTCTAAGATGTGTCATTTCGCTGTGCAGAATTATGCCCCTAAGGCCTTGGTTGCACCAGGAAGTTATGATAGTGGGGTAGCCTTGTGATTAAGGCGTTTGCTCATCGGGCCAAAGACCTGGATTCGATTCCCCACATGGATACAATGTGTGAAGTTCATTTCTGGTGTCCCCCTGCCGTGATATTGCTGGAATTTTGCTAAAAGCGGTGTAAAACCTTACTCACTCACTCACTCCAAAGGCTGTTTCCCCCAGTTACATTTCTAGGCGACTATCCCCATGCTCGTGGGTTTCACCAAAGTGGTAAATGTCTAAAACTTGCATTGCCTTTCACATGAAACTGACATGCCATGATATATCTGAAAGCAATGTTGTCGCCATCAACTCACTCCGCCTGTGTTAACCATTGATGTTCCCCCGCACAGAGGCTCCTCCACTGGACTACAAGACGGCCCAGGGCAGTTCTCAGTTCAAGTTTGGAGTCCTGGCTAAGATCGTCAAGCACATGAAGGTATGATTGCCATAGATTGATAATTCTAGATTCTATAAGACAGTTTACCAGAATAATTGTTGCTAATGCATACACAGATCTAGAGGCTCTTCAAATTTCAATCAGACCTGTTAACCCCAGTCCTGCACCATGACTGGAATTTATATTTTTTAGGTATTTTTTTTATTAAAAGCTTATGCAAGTCTAGATCAAACTAACCATGTCTAGTTTGCTTGATTCCACATATGAAAACAGAAGAAGAGGAAAGGTTCTTTCGAAAAATGTTTTTTTTATTTTAAACACGTTTTTATTGACTTAGTGTTAGTCTATGTTAACCCATTAGTTGCCAAGCAAGTAAGAATCTGTGTGTAGCTTCAGCTTTTTTACCAGCGTGTGGGGTGAATTGGCAATGTCTATTTTTAAAATTTATTTAGATAATGTTTTGACATAATAATTTATCATCCAAAATGTGGCTCATACAGCAGATATGGCTTGGGTATATCAAGTGATATCCACATTGTAGATGTTGCTGCAATGAAATTGCATCACAATGCTTTGCAGACCATTGTGACATCATTGGTTACCATGACATCACAATGCTTTGCAGACCATTGTGACATCATTGGTTACCATGACATCACAATCAAATGACATCACTAATGGCTCTGCAGCATCAGCAAGCCTCAGAGTTTTAAACTTTTATCGACTCGTGTAGATATATTTGATATCAAAAGTTGGTTGGTTTGTTGTTTAATGCCGCACTCAGCAATATTCCAGCTATATGACGGTGGTCTGTAAATAATCGAGTCTCGACCAGACAGTCCAGTGGTTAATATCATGAGCATCGATCCATGCAATTGGGATGGATGACATGCATCAACCAAGTCAGCGAGCCTGACCACTTGATCCCGTTAGTCACCTTATACGGCAAGTATGGGTTGCTGAAGACCTATTCTACCCCGGAATCTTCAAAAGACACTTGGGTGAGATTCTCCATATAATTGAATACCATAAAGTTCATTGATCACTATCTCGTTCTAGATTCGACATCAGAATGGCGAGCCGGAGCCACTGGACATTGAGGAAATATTGGACGAGACAAACCAGCTGGATATCGGCAGCAGGATGCGACACTGGCTGCACACAGAGGTGAACTGGGGAATGAGGTGTTACCATGGTAACATGCAGAGGTGAACTGGGGGATTTTGTTATCATGGTAACATACAGAGGTGAATTGCAGAATATGTGGTAACTTTGGCTACATACAAAGGTGAAGTAGGGATTATGTGTTACTATGGTGACATACAGAGGTGAATTGGGAGATTATGTGTTACCATGGTGACATACAGAGGTGAATTGGGAGATTATTTGTTTACATACAGAAGGGGATTTGGATATTATGGGTTTACATTGAGAGGAACTGATGGATAACCTGTTGACATGTGTAATGTGTAATGTTTTTGACTTATACAGTTGCACAGTCTTTGTAAGAGCAGGTCCATGACCTACATTGTTGCACAGTCTTTGTAAGAGCAGGTCCATGACCTACATTGTTGCACAGTCTTTGTAAGAGCAAGTCCATGACCTACATGTTTACACAGTCTTTGTAAGAGCAAGTCCATGACCTATGTGGTTGCACAGTCTTTGTAAGAGCAGGTCCATGACTTATACGGTTGCACAGTCTTTGTAAGTGCAAGTCCATGACCTATGTGGTTGCACAGTCTTGGTCAGGGAAAGTCCATGATGTTCATCTCCTTAGGGACCCATCTTGGCTCATTCAAATGTTAAATTCATTTAAAATGTTCTTCATGAAAACTGGAGAATTTAGCCTTTTTGACATACTTTCGCCTTGCCTCTACGGTTGTTTTTAAACATGTACCTGTCTTAACATGATCACCTTTGATAGTTTTTTATAAAGATTTTATGCAAATCTTGCTCATTTCTAAAATAATACAATTCTTCTGGGGCAAAAAGACCCCTATCACTCCACACATGCAGCAATATTTGTCCTGCAGAATCAACACACAGGGTTTGCAGACCTATGTCTTGTACATCCTGATCACACTTTGGAATCAATTACCGTATTCGACGTAATAAGCGCCCAGGGCGCTCTCAAAATTAAAAATAGGGGGCTCTTATTAGAATATTACTTTGGTGGGAAAAACAGTTGAAAGATAAATTTCGTGGTTTATGCTGACAGTCTGAACTGTTTATATACGACAGATACATTTTTCCAGAATATAAATGCCTATAATTAAGGGTGCATATAACACACGAGTGCGTATTATACACGAATAAATAAGTCTTGTGTACATTGATAAATCGGAAGGGGGGCTAATTGGGATTGTTCACTTGCCAATATATTAGCAAATATCCCCGTGGGCGCTTATTAGAGCGGGGCGCTTATTACGTCGAATACGGTATATATATTACTTGTATAGTTTTAATAAATACCCCGTTTGTCAATATCTCATTAATCTCACAACTGACGGATGACACGATGTTTCAGGCACTCATAAACAATCCGAAGATCATCGTTGTTGAAGAACGCCACTTGAAGAAGTTCCTGTTCAAACCCAAGTACGCGGTGAGGGACCGTAAGAGTCTGATGAAGCTGTTGAAGAGCTACGACCTGCACGGCCGAGGTGGGATTCTCATGGAGGACATCGAGGAGTCGCTGCCCGATTCAGCCAAAGTCTTCAAAGTAAGTGGGGAACATGGAGTTCGAGCATACATGCCAACTGCCCCGAATTGTTCATAGTTCTTACAAATTTGCAGCTAAAATACAAAAAGATGATTTCTTCCTTAATCGTGTTAATTCATATGAATAAAATGCCATTCAGCTGAGGTAACTATATCTCTATGCTGCTCCCTATAAACAATTTTGATATTGTGTGTCACTACACAGGTCTGTGAAGTGACAAATCAGTATCAAAATTATTTATAGGGAGCAGCGCACAGACAGTTACAAGTCTTGTAAAGCGACATGTCAGTGTCAAAATGGTTAAGCACAGACTCAGTTTCAAGTCTTGTAAAGCTATAAGGCGCCGCAATTCGCTGTGCAGAAACCTATGATTGTGGGTTTGAATCTCGGTTCGCCCCGATCATGTTTCTAGGTTTGTCAGCACCATAAACGTGCTCGTGGGTTTCACCAAAGTGGTAAACGTCTGAGACCTGCATCACTTCACGCCGTGATATAACTGGAATACAGTTAAAAGCGGCCTTAAACACAACTCACTCACTCAATCACTCACTCTCTGTAAAGCAACATGTCAGTGTCAAAATGTTTTAGAGCAGCACAGAGATAGTTACAAATCTTGATCAGGAATCAGACTCAGCCCTTCGACGTGACGAGCGAATGTTTTAACCACTAGGCTACCCCACCACCCCCACTCATCACTCACTATTGTATGAATTATTATTATGAATATTGTTGTTATATTTATTTACCCTAACTATGCTAACACCTGCTAGATCCAGTGTTTGGATGATGAATTAGGCCTTATCTTCATGAAACAAATGCAAGGAAATTAAGATAGAATGATACAAGTTCTGATCAACCATCTTTGAAATGTTTCACTAATGATCATGCTTCATATCATAACCAGTATTTTTTCAAATTGTTCGATAAAATCTGAGGATTCTTACCTCATGTGGGCAGTGGGGTAGCCTAGAGGTTACAGCGTTCGCTCATCACGCCAGGGGCGATCGGGTAGCCTAGTGGTTAAAGCGTTCGCTCGTCCTGCTGAAGACCCGGATTTGATTCCCGACATGGGTACAATGTGTGAAGCCCATTTCTGGTGTCCCCCGCCGTGATATTGCTGGAATATTGCTAAAAGCGGCGTAAAACCATACTCACTTACTCAATCAATCATGCCGATGACTGGGATTCGGGTCCCGGTGTGGGTACAATGTATGAAACCCATTTCTGGTATCGCCTGCCGTGATATTGCTGGAATAATGCTAAAAGCGGCGTAAAACCATGCTCACTCACTCATACATCGCGCGAGACTCTGTGACTGACCGACATGTTCCTGAGCTGTCTGACTGGTTGGCTTGTCTGTTTGCAGCAGCTGGGAGAACACATCATCTATGTGACTAGGCCCATTGACAAGAAGAAGGTGCTCTACTACAACGACAAGTACTGCCAGTTCAAAATAGATGAAGGTACGTCTGTGGTATTTGTGGATTTTGGCATTTAAGGGGAGTCGGGGGTAAGGTGTCGTTTCCAGGGCACAACTTGAAATGAATTGGAGCACCCCAGGGCTGAGGCTCGGTGACTTGATTGATTCAAACAGAAAAACAGAAAAAACCCAGTTATCTTTCAGTTTAGTTTTGCGATTATAATTGTATTGGTGGTGTGACCTGCAAGTTTGTTTTTTATTCTTTGTAGCAGTATGAATCTAGTTGTTGAAATTTAAAAATAAATAAAAACTCGACCACCTGCATTAAATTGTAAGCCTTAAAAAAAATAATAGTCTTGGTTCTCAGGCACCAACCGCATCATCACAGAGTCTGCCGCACGTCTTGTTTTTATTTCAATTTTCAAAAAAATATAAAAATCCTTATACTTAAACACAATGCACAAAGAAAATGGAAACAAAAACAAAACGTGCAATGTACTTTATGATGATGTGGGCAAGACTTTTATTTTTTTTAGCCTAAGCCAAACCATTTTAAACTGATAAAAACATAGTTCTTTAAATATATAAACATCAGTTTAATTAGGAGATAAACATACTCTCTTTTCAATGTAGAGCTAGGTTACCTGTAGATTTATCAACGCTAAATTGAATTTGGAACCAAACGCGCAGCCACCTAAAAATACATTTTCCTGCCTGAAGATTTCTGCTACATGAATTTCAATGCTTATATTTAGTTGTCCACAATTACTTTTATCAAAATAATCTAGCCATATCTTTGCATAAACGGTACTGTGGGAGTATGTAACTTTAGCCAATAGTCCAAAGGTCGAGTAAAATTCTGTTCTTTCTAGTAAGCTCAGCTAGTAATAGTCAAATAATGAAGTTGAAATCAGACTAGTCGACTCAAACGTTTTTAGAAGGACTGCCATGGATTGTAAATGCTACTGACCCGTGAAGATTCCGGGGTAGAATAGGCCTTCAGCAACCCATGCTTGCCGTAAAAGGTGACTATGCTTGTCGTAAGAGGCGACTAACGGGTCAGGCTCGCTGACTTGGTTGATGCTTGTCATCGATCCCAATTGCATGGATCGATGCTCATGATATTAATCTGTGGATTGTCTGGTCCAGACTCGATTATTTACAGACCGCCGTCATATAGCTGGAACATTGCTGAGTGCGGCGTTAAACAACAAACCAACCAACCAATGTAAATGCTACTTTTATGACAGTTGATGGATAAATGTTGGTCATTTTCAGCTCTGATTGATTTTTATCCCCCGCCGCGCGAAAGCGCGAAGCGGGGGATATAGTATTCACGACCGTCCGTACGTCCGTCCGTACGTCCCACCTGTTTGTTGCCGCGATATCTCAAGAACTAAACACTGGATTGTCTTCATATTTGGAACTATGGTGTATATACAGACTCCGCAGACACCAGTCGGTTTTGGTGACCTTGATCCCATTTTCAAGGTCACAGCAGACAAATCTGCTTTTAGAGTTGGAAAACGGTGTTGCCGCGATATCTCAAGAACTAAACACTGGATTGTCTTCATATTTGGAACTATGGTGTATATACAGACTCCGCAGACACCAGTCGGTTTTGGTGACCTTGACCCCATTTTCAAGGTCACAGCAGGCAAATCTGCTTTTGGAGTTAGAAAACGGTGTTGCCGCGATATCTCAAGAACTAAACACTGGATTGTCTTCATATTTGGAACTATGGTGTATATACAGACTCCGCAGACACCAGTCGGTTTTGGTGACCTTGACCCCATTTTCAAGGTCACAGCAGGCAAATCTGCTTTTGGAGTTAGAAAACAGTGTTGCCGCGATATCTCAAGAACTAATCGCTGGATTGTCTTCATATTTGGAACTATAGTGTATATACAGTCACCGCATACACCTGTCAGATTTGGTGACCTTGACCCCATTTTCAAGGTCACAGCAGGCAAATCTGTTTTTGGAGTTGGAAAACGGTGTTGCCACAATATCTCAAGAACTAATCGCTGGATTGTCTTCATATTTGGTACTATGGTGTATATGGCGGGGGATATTTCGTCACTCTGTGACAAATACTTGTATTGTTTGTGAACGATGGGGACTGCAGCTTACTTTATGATCCAGATATTGACCTTTTTATCATAATCTAATGGGAATATACCAAATCTGTTTGTACCCCTAGGTCCTGGGTTTGAAATCGTCCCCAGCAACCTATGCTGCCTTTTGAACTTTTGAAATTATATTGTGGCATGTTTATTGTGGTATGTTTATTGTGGTATGTTTATTGTGGTATGTTTATTGTGGTATGTTTGAAATATTCACTGCAAGGAGAAGTGTAATATCATGGTATGATTTGTGCAGAATTTCAGAAGATGTGGCGCAGCGTTGCGGTAGATGGTCTGGATGAGAAGAAGATCGAGGAATACCTGGACAAGCATGGTATCTCCTCAATGCAAGACCTCGGACCCAAACCTGTTGTACGTACAGCTCCTTCACCTGTACCGTGTCAGAGATGTTGTCTCCCCCTGTGTGGAGTCTGGGTCTAAATAGGTCTCACGTACCCCAGCTTGTCAGAAGAGCCATTAAGAGGGGCAGGGGATCTGTTGATCAGACTCTTCTTTGGCTTGGTAACAAACCTCTGGCCAAACCTCAGGGACCCGTGAAGATTCCGGGGTAGAATAGGTCTTCAGCAACCCATGCTTGCCGTAAAAAGTGACTCTGTTTGTCGTAAAAGGCGACTAACGGGATCGGGTGGTCAGGCTCGCTGACTTGGTTTGATGCATGTCATTGATCCCAATTGCGTGGTCGATGCTCATGATATTAATCACTGGATTGTCCGGTCCAGACTTGATTATTTACAGACCACCGTCATATAGCTGGAATATTGCTGAGTGCGGCGTTAAACAACCAACCAACCAAACCTCAGGCTGTGATTTTCTGCGTGGGACTTTGATGTCATATGTTAATGATATTATTTTTAGTCGTAATTTACATCAGACTGGGGACAAATGCAGTGCATTTGTTGTTTGATAAAATGTTGCATTCCTCTCTCAATCCCCATTTATCACTCACTCACTCACTCACTCACTCGCCTACCCACCCACCCACACTCACTCACTCACTCACTCACTCACTCACTCACTCACCCACCAATGCCCACTCACTCACTCACTCACTCACCCACCAATGCCCACTCACTCACTCATCCACCAATGCCCTCACTCACTCACTCACTCACTCACTCGCCTACCCACCCACCCACCCACCCACACTCACTCACTCACTCACTCACTCACTCACTCACCCACCCACCCACCCACCCACCCACTCACTCACTCACTCACTCACCCACCAATGCCCACTCACTCACTCACTCACTCACTCACCCACCAATGCCCACTCACTCACTCACCCACCAATGCACTCACTCACTCACTCACTCACTCACTCACCCACCAATGCCCACACTCACTCACTCATTCACTCATGTGCTCATCTGTTCCAGGCTGCTGTCAAGCGGAAGAAGGGTGGGAGTCGGAAAGGAAAACAGTTCAAGAAACACAACGACCATCTTGACAATGTTCTGGAAGACTATACCATCGGCATCGCCAACAAGAAGACTTGACCTGCAGGTCGACCTGCCAGTGGAACTGACAAAGTGAAAATCGGCTTTCCTTCTGTGAAGCAGTAGGAATGGAACCTTACTTTTGTAATACTTGATTCACGACATGATCCATGGGATTATCTTGTGTGATGCCAAGAAAAAATACAATCATGTTTAGATGCCGGCCGTTTTTTTCGCTCCATGGCAGCACCACCTGGGAGAATTCTGGATTAGATTTGGTCGTAAGAGGCCACCAATTGGATCAGGTTGTCAGACTGTGTTTTGCGTATCCTCGTACGCCGACAATGTGGATCGCTGCTCACAATATCAATCACTGGATTGTCTGGTCCAGACTTCATTATTTACAGTCCGCCATTGTATAGCTGGAATATTGCTGAGTGGGGCGTTAAACAACAAACGAAAACAAAACTTGTTACCACACAAACACATGATCAAATCGATTAATGGACTTGGTGGGATGAAGCTATATTGTTTATGTGAACCAGATTGTATATCATCAGATGTTCAAATAATTGTAACAGTTCGTATCTTGTAAGTTCAGACATGATTTGATTTACAATGTCATGACTTCACCGACAGTTGGATATTATCATGGATTTCAAGCATGTGTCGTAAAGGAAATCTTTGCCAATGTGTCGTCATGATAACTTTGTATCGTCATGCATTGTGTCATCATAAAATCTCAGTACCCAAGAAGATCCGGGGTAGGATAGGTCTTCAGCACCCCATGCTTGCCGTAAAAGGCGACAATGCTTGTCGTAAGAGGCAACTAACAGGATCGGGTTGTCAGGCTCACTGACTTGGTTGATGCATGTCATCATATCCCAATTGCGTGGATTGATGCTCATGTTTTCAAGGTTGCATCACATTCCGACTATCACTTTCATAATCTGGTAAGCGATGCTCTGATTGGTCGGATGAAAGGTCATTCTGACGTGACCCCTAATGGGATGTCCTCAGATCTTTGTTTAGCGGTAGCGAGAACTAAGATCTGATTTTAATGAGATTGTGTTTCAACGAGGGCTTCCTTTTGTTGTAATTTACTACTACCAATTCGTTTGAAGCTGATAGATTTATATCTTTGCGTGTATGACTTGTGGTATCATCAACCATTATACGGTGTGAATTTCACGTGTGAAGATCCGGGTTAGAATAGGTCTTCAGCAACCCATGCTTACCGTAAAAGGCGACTAACGGGATCGGGTGGTCAGGCTCGCTGACTTGGTTGATGCATGTTATTGTATGCCAATGGCGTGGATCGATGCTCATGACATCAATCACTGGATTGTCTGGTCCAGACTCGATTATTTACAGACCGCCGTCATATAGCTGGAATATTGCTGAGTGCAGCGTGGAACAACAAACAAACAAACATAAAATCTCAGACATTGTTCTCATCATGTCATTAAACATTGTGTCGTCATGACATCTTAGGTACTGTGTCATCATAACTCCAGACTTTGTGCCGTTGGACCGGACAGGTTTGTTCGGAGGCTGACCTAGCGATGTGTTCAGGGATGGATGTGCCAAGGCTTGACCTTCAGAGAGCCCAAATTCATCTCTCACACATTTGTATGATGGCCTGTTGTACGTTCATGGAACACTATGCTGTCAGCTTACAGTCCAAGCCTCTAAGTTTTACTTAATCCTTTGTAGCTTCCTGGCTCATTTGTTTCAAAGAATTTGTTATTTTCTAATCAAAACAATAATGAGAAATTTCGTGTGTTTCACCAAAGCAGGGCCCTCCCTCATTAAAGTACTCATTTCTTGGGAGATTCTTATGTCGTTCTCATACCGGATAATAAAAATCATTAAAGCTCATTCAGATTTGTATGTGTTTTTTTTCACAAACCTTAGACACATGATTAACATGCAAGCAATCAGAATCTAGCCTCAGGCTAGCATTTCACTTTTATCTTTTCATAGTTTAATAGCTTATTTGGTAAAAGTTTTCATACTGTTGGTTTCCTGGACAAAGTAGAAATAGCTGGGACGAGAGTTCAATACCAAACGTGGACAAACTGTTTTGTACATGCATAACTTGAGAAGCGTGGATCGATGCTCATGAAATCAATCACTGGATTGTCTGGTCCAGACTAGATCATTTACAGACCGCTGACATAGAGCTGGAATATTGCTGAGTGCGGCATTAAACAACAAACAAATCACATTCAGTATCAGGTGTCCTGTTGTAAGAGTGACATAATGGGGATTGTGTGTCCAAAATGGCTGCCAAGTATAGACACAAGGATATGCTGTGTGTTCCTGTCACTGAATGACCCACTCACTCATGTTTTATGTGGCACAAAATATCTGGTAATATGTTGGTTTGCAGTTTCTGTACCTGACAACTGTCATAACACCTGACTAAGCTCATCTTCCCTAGGCAAGGGAGTTAACTGACTATAGAGTCCAGTTTACACCCTTGCCGAACTTGGCTGGAATTTCTGGGCTCGATCATAGCGCCACGAGTGGACTTTTATAATCAGTTAACTCCCTTGCCTCAGGAAGATGGTGAGGTGAGGTGAAATGGGGTTTAACATCGCGTCCAAGATTATTGCACTTGCGACGTGCATGTACCTGTGTGTGTTTGTGTGGCTGCTTGTACTAGTCCGGACTGATGCCGATTTATAGTGCTAGCTCACTGAGATACCATGCCGCAATTTAACATGAATACCCCACTCAGACACAGTATACTGACTCCGAGCCGACCAGTCCTTGTTTTAGCCCCTTAATGCCGAACGCCAGACAGGGTAACAAGTACCATCTTTTAACAGCTTTTGGTATGACGCGGTCGGGGATCGAACCCCTGACCTTCCGCTCTCCGGGCGGACGCTCTACCTTTAGACCACGGAGGCGGTCCCTAGGCAAAGGAGTTAACTGACTATAAAAGTCCAGTTTGCACCCTTGCCGAACATGGCTGGAATTTCTGGGCTCAATCATAGGGCCACCAGTGGACTTTTATAGTCAGTTAAATCCCTTGCCTCTGGAAGATGGACTGAGGTAGTGGGTCAGGTTGTCACAGTGTCATGAGATTGGTGGTGACAGTTTGTTATACCCATAAGGAACATAACCAATACCACCGGTATTCCTGGTTCCCGCTTAATTAACTCGCCGGCATCATCAATCAGGAATATTGCTGACTGTGGTGTCAATGTGCAGGGAAATGGGTACCGGATGGTCAAAATGGCTGCCAAGGAGGAAGGAACATAAATAACAAATCCACAAGTAATATTTCAGGAATTCACCTTTATTCAATGTATAGAACGATAACTTCAGGATAAAAATAGTCCACCAAACTAGCTATTCTTAAAAACCAAAATCTACAGCAATCATGTGACTGTGTCGGCATATTTCTGCGAACTATATACATCACAGGTTGTAGCTGTAGGCTTCGTCTCCACCGTTCATCAGACTAGGAACGTAGTCGACCATGACTGCCAAGCTCTCAACATCCAAAAGGTCAAATCATGTAAAATCTGGATATTTTTTCGAGACCACATACCCCAAAACGTCAAATTTTGACTTAATGATTCATTGTCCTCAAAACAAAGGATCTCGTACTTATTGATTTGTAGAGAATCTTTTGTGGCATTGGTTTCGAAACACTGGTTTGAGAGCAGACTAATATCTGTAGATGAACTTCAGAGAAGAAACCTTTCGATGGTCAGATTCCCAAAATATTAATGGGTGCTGTCTATGTACATTGCGAGAGAAAGATGAAAAATGCAGCGAATGCGTCCCCACTGCAGTGTTGAAATTAACAAATTGCAAAAAATGGAAACAAAATATAAATAATCATAAATGTATTGAACTAAACTAGAACTCCGTCATGAACTAGCATGAGCTAAAGAATGAAAACTAACAGCATGAAAATAAATACTGGCTTCCAGGTGGGAACTATACCAATCTATTTACACGTTGGAACTGAAGTAACGTAGTAATATTATGCAAAGTATCTCCATGGCGACACAGTCACATGACCCCTAATGAACTCTTGAGGTTTGAGCAAAAACATGTCCATTGCACGACAAAACAGTTGGTCGGGAGCGACAGTCATGTACAATATTGCCCCTACCAGTAATATAACAGAAACATGTCTACCAAAGGTCAAATTGGATTGGATTGGATTTTTCTTGACAAAAATTAAGTTGTGTTTGATTTTAGCTTTGAAATCAGGAATTCGTATAAGCATGAGGAAATTGGGTCATTTCCATCTAAAATCAAATTTCACAGGTAATTGAAACTCAAATGGGTCACATGCACTTGCAGGTTTCTAACGTCGAGGTAAATGAGTATTTAAATGTCACAACCGTTTGTTGATTTCGTTATGAAATGCATTGGAGTTCTCAACCAATATTCTTTACATGGAAAAATACAATTTATTTCAATAAATGACAAAATTTGTACCTTTCATCCGGATCATACATCTAACATAGACATAAAACAATTTCATAGTTGGAAAAACATGGAGAATTAGTCAAATCAGGGGAAACAACTCATGCACTTTTATGCTTGATACCAAAAACAAACTTTACACGATTTACATGAATCTCCCCAAAAACACTGTTCATGAAAAATGTCTATATTTAATCACACTGACAACATCTTTTGTAATAAATTCACTTCCTGAAGCTGATCCTTGAAAAAGTTGAACACTGATAGTTCCAAATGCATTTTATTCTCAATCTACGTAAACTCATCTGATATTAGCTTGAAATAATTCCATCCATCTTTTGAAATGGAACTTTGATTTCAATTTAGTTTGATTTCCTAAAAATTTTGATAGTCAGCTTTAACAGACTGTACACTTAATGAACAGCCCTGGCTAGTGAACACACGTCTACCTTTGATCACAAGGAGAATGAAAAACGGAGAGAAATGACACGATGTTCAGGTAAAGGTTTAAGCACACATGACACGGGAGTTAAAGGCAAAAATCTCGATGGAAATTAAACATATCTATCTACACAAAGTCAACTAGGATCCCTGTCTAGGTTGTACATGTATACCATATTTTGATTATTATTGAAATCATTGTCATGCAAACAGTTGATTAACCATGAAGGACTCGAAGACATTACAGTCCACATCTAAAGCACATAGCCTGGGAGAGGACTTGGTGGTGGTGAACAAGCAATGAAAGGCCCACACTTCCTCAGTGTCTTCCTGATCACGAGTCTAGGAATTTGGTACAACTTGCATCAAGTTTGGCCAATCACAGGACCATTCAACTTACCAAAAAAGGTTTTTAATAATCATGTTATCAAACGCTTCATTAACTTTTCAAACTGGGGTATATTTGTAGTTAATTCATTACATGTTCACCACTGAACCATTATCTATGTTCTGTGCCAACAATGTAGCTCCTCACTATAAGGCAGCTACATTACTGTAGCTCCTCACTATAAGGCAGCTTCATTTCTGTAGCTCCTCAATGTTCAGCAGCTCCATTTGTGTAGCTCCTCATTATAAGGCAGCTACATTCCTGTAGCTCGTCACTGTAAGGCAGCTACACTCCTGTAGCTTCTCACAATAAGGCAGATACATTTATGTAGCTCCTCACTATAAGGCAGATACACTCATGTTGCCCCTCGATATAAGGCAGATACACACATGTAGCCCCTCGATAAAAGACCACTACATTTGTGTATCGTCTTCATATAAAAGACAGCTACACCCATGTAGCTCCTCGCTATAACACAGCAACACTGAGGCACATCGCTACCACTTGATAGAGCATGTCGATGGGCAAGATCACCCCTACGCCCTGACCTACAAAATGCCGTTCTCTGATTGGCTGGAATGTTATGTACTGTACACTCGTTGGTAAGTGAAACCCTCACGAAGATTTTCTTTAACATCAACATGCAAATATACAAATCATTGTTTACAGAACAGGACAGATAAACAAACAATGACCCATACACAGTAACTATCTGCCAGATCATTGAGGCTTTCTGTTGATAGGCATATCACATCAATGTCAAACAAGAAATAGAATTTCATAGGCTAGTAATAACTCCTTTAAAAGGCTTAATAGAAACAATATCATACTGCAAGCGACGTCCACATCTTGTTCGTTTAATATACATTAACCCTTTGTATCACATCTCCATGGAAACGCAACAGAAGGGGTTAACAAGGATTACAAAAATCTACATTCTACATGAGCACAGCTGATCTATTTATATTCCCCTAGATATAAATAGTTAAATAATCCAACAGGATAAATACATAGTACGAGAAAAATCAACAATATATAAATGAATCGCTGAATTCATCACATACTACGAACAAAGCACACTATCGGAAAATGGAAAATGGATGAGTCTTTTTTCGAAGTGAGGATAACTTACTGATATGAAGACTTTTAAGTCCAATTTACAATGAAATAAATATGAAGGATCGCATAGACTGCATGAGGACTTTTTCCCATTCCACCGCCCACATACCCTGGACTTCCTGGCAGTATAAATATCGAGAGACTATAGTTGTACATATAGGAGGACAACTAGTGTTAGTAAATTGAGACAGTTTTCAGCATGAAAACATGGCCGACTTGATTCCAAATGTCACAGATAAAACCATTAGTTGTGTAGAGAGTAGCATTTGTGACGCGGTTTTGTTTGATCATATTCAAGAGAACTGCCAAAAAACAATTTTCAAAAGTTTCAAATTCAGGAAATATTGCAACAAAGGTTGAAAGTTTTAACTTTCCTTCGTACTCTTTATTTTATTTCATGAAATGAAAAGTTTTCAAATAATTATCAGAAATCTACCTGACGATGAAGATCCGTAATTTAGAGAACTAAATTTACACATTTTTCCCTTGCATTGAGAAAAGATCAGAAATAGTTTTCAGGACAACAGTATGTTTCTGTCACCAAGAACCATGTCCTCATGCTTGTCGACTCGGAATTATTTCTACCCCAAAATACCATTTTCAACACCGAAAGCGCAACCAGTTTGTCTAGCCTGCTAGTCTCCTTCCACTACTGCATCTTGACAACTACCTGATGTTAAGGTGGGTCTGCTACTACAGTTACCACAAAAACAACAAACCAGATGAAACTAACAATAAGTTAGGGGTATTAAATATCGATAAATACATATTTTGTATATTTGATAGATTTTCTGGATGCGGAACCACAGTATTGCAATAAATAGACCAAACACAGCTCAGTATCCGTAAAATGTTTCTCGCCTAGAATAAGGAATGACATAAATCAATTAATCAAATGTCACCTTCGGGAGGAAACTCGAAATTAGAAAATTTGTATGCACTTCCCCAAAATATCCCTTTTTTTGACTTCTTTGTGTTTCAGAAAGTGAAAAGTGTGAAATTAACCAGTGATCCCATGGAAAAAGTACAATAAATAAAAACAAAACGAAAGAAATTTGTGGAGTATGTACCCATGTTGAGATAAAGGACGTATTTGCTCCTCTTAAATACCCAAACAAGTGCTGTCCAAATGAAAGAACAGACAAGGAAACATTGGATCAATCATCTCAAAACCTTCTTCTGGAACACCACCCTGAAGCACAGGGTCACAGTTGATATGGATTTAGCATAAATACATTCTGGATTTCTGTCATGACTATTCCACGATACAACGATACATGTGATACAAAATAGGTACCATGGCCGCAATACAGAACGTGTCGTGATACAAATATATGGGTCCTTAAGACTTCACCAAAGTTTTATCGTTCATTTTTCAACAAAGGTAATGCCACGCTACAGTGAAATCCGTTGGGGGTATGTATCTGTATCACAAGACTTCGTATCAGCCAATAAGGTGTTGTATCATTGTATCGCTAGGTCCTTATTTGGTAATATTTTGATTTGTAAACAGGATTTCTAGACGTGTAACATCATGATACAAAGATATGGAATGACCACTTTACCGGCCCGCTAAAAGCCTGCTGTATGACAAAATTTGATTGTTTAGAATCGGAATTGCAATATATGTCTAAAAGGTCACACTAGGACATAGAAAAAGGACCAATCGTTGTTAGACAAAAACAATACCATAATCAACCTAATTAGAGCCCCAAGACAAAAAAATAACCGCCGCCATTACTGCTGTCCGAGTTCGACCCATGGCTCGTTTCATTCATCCAAGGGAGCTAATTAGGTTGATCAGGTCTCCAGGGGTAAAGATATGTCAAGTTTGTCTCTATCATCTACAGACTAATTTACTCGATTTCTTCACATGCATAAATGGCAACAGTATAAAAACGCCTATATGATCTGTTTTGTGGAAAATGGTATCGGGGAACCACAGGAAAGCATGTCCCCAAAATTGGTCCTTTATCTACACAATATATATATCATTCACATTTATGCATCAAAAGTCTGAACAAGCACACAAAATTGTCTGCCCTGAGTATGCGCACCATAAAAGGTCAAAGGTCAAAGGGCAGTTGAACTCTCAGTCGTCCAATACACATTACCCATAATGCAAAGTCGATGACAAATTCACCTCCGGCATTTAATGCTCGCGCGTATTCACCACACCTAAACAATAGGCACGTCGACAGTACAAAGACAAGGGACATCGAGTGTTTTTCGGCAGCATTTATGCACTGATGACAATACCACACTTTTAAGGTTAGGAAAGATGGTCGTGAAAATCGCATTTCCATCCCGTTGAAATAAACGCTGTCGGTATCGAGGGAAAGACAGGGCCAGCGTGGAGAAAGTGCGGCCATTAGTTTATTTTCTCGATGTGGCATTATAATGACATCCAAGTAGATATGTACAAGGGAATTTGGACGGAGACTTAGTCAAGTTGTACGATCCTAAACCCAGCCGAGAAAGCACATGCACATTACTGGACACTGGTTGTCGGGCGCCATTCCCTGCTAGGTGACCATTCGTGTGTTCATGGGATTAGCTCAAAATATGTTTCATTGTTTCATAACCGATCAAAACATAATCAACTGACCTACCATATTTCATATTCAGCAATAAAAAAACTGCAATAAATATCGGTCAAGATGCTGGTCAAACGATTCTAAAAGTATTTTTATATCCGAATTTTCAAGACATTTTACACAAATCAAAATACCCATCCGAATCAGGACACAAATTCCACTGTTTCAGAGTTCTGTACAAAAATCAACACATTGCTAGCAGGGAAAATGGTAAACCATGGCGCCAGAGCTCTTTGCCTATGAAACAATCTACTGTCTAGCATTAACAAACATGGACAACACACACGGAAACAGGAAACAATGTGGAAACATCCATCGTTTCATTTTAACTTTACAAAAAAGAAACAAAAACAGTAACTGGATTTCAAAAACACATTGGTCAGAGACTACACCAGTACAACTTCCAGATAGGCCTACACTATACTGTCACTCGTTGCATCAGAGCTCACAAAACACAATCATCTGCAGAAATTTTGTTGCCTAGGATACCATGATTAAAAAGTTATGATTGGTTGATATCACAAAACACAGTCGACTCCAGTAACCATGGTAACTATAGTGCTTCAAAATGCTGTCGCCATGGAAACTGGGGACTGTAGAATGTTGAAGTCATCCTTTTTACCCTGAAAAAGAAGAAAATATTTCATTAAACATAAGATCCAAATTTCTTTTTATAGCGAACTCTTTTACTGATTTAGTCCATTACTATTCATAAATTTTGATAAATAATAAGGGCGTGATATCATCAGAAAATATTACATATTTCTGTTACTTAAATCCAAATCAGTTTACTTTTAAGTTGAGCAGATTAACTCTAAATCTGGCAAAGTGCAGCCCCCGAAAATATTCATTAGAAACAATTGATCTGGCCTAAACAATAATCGGAAAGTTTTTCTTCTGAAGGTGTAATAAAACCCTTGTCACATTGGACCACTAGTAGCTGCTACCTAGAAGCTTTGGTTAGAATCTTCACGATTCCTACCACTCTCCAGTTAATTCACATATACTATAAGCTTTAAATAAATAAACATGTCTAACGACCACAGTGAGTCTGATTTTATGCCATTTTTAGCAATTTTCAAGCAATATTGCGGCAGGGAAGCCATGAAAGATCTCGTCATATTGACACATGTGGGAATGAAACTCGTGCCTTCATGACAAGCACATGCGCTAACCTCAAGGCCATCTTACCGTCCCTCTGATCACACAAAGATGGAGTTCAAACTGATAATTCTTTAATCTACTCTTTCTAGAACTATTATTTTTTTTAAAAAGCACACAAATAAAAACCCTTTTCCACATAAAAGGGATATGACAAAAAAAAACACATCAAAGGTGCTGTGGTACCAGAAAATTTGGAATAGAAATTTGAGTGAAGCATATTCACAAACACGTCAACACTACACCCCCTACTTGCAATAACACGCCCTCCTCTTGCATTAACACACACCGCCATTCAGTAAAACAACCCCTCTTGCAATAACACAACCCCCTCTTGCAATACCACAACCCCTCTTTCAATACCACAACCCCTCTTGCAATAACACAACCCCTCTTTCAATACCACAACCCCTCTTGCATTGACACAACCCCTCTTGTAATAACACAACCCCTCTTGTAATAACACAACCCCTCTTGTAATAACACAACCCCTCTTGTAATAACACAACCCCTCTTGCAATAACACAACCCCTCTTGCAATAACACAACCCCTCTTGCAATAACACAACCCCAACCCCTCTTGCAATAACACAACCCCTCTTGCAATAACACAACCCCTCTTGCAATAACATACCCCCTCTTGCAATAACACAACCCCTCTTGCAATAACACAACCCCTCTTGCAATAACACAACCCCTCTTGCAATAACATACCCCCTCTTGCAATAACACAACCCCTCTTGCAATAACACAACCCCTCTTGCATAACACAACTCCCTCTTGCATAACACAACTCCCTATTGCAATAACAGAACCCCTCTTGCAAGAAGACAACCCCTCACAACTTCGTCTGACCATGCTGAGACTGCACATTAAAAGATGGCCTGAGAACGAGTAGTTTTTCATTGTCTTAGCGTCGTTAGTAAAGTAAACATAGTAACTATGCAGATGTGAATACATTAGGGCATATTTAATCACAAATGCTTGACCAAAATTAATTCTGACAAATGAACATAGCTTAAAACAGACACTATAATATGACCCCCATATGCGAAATCCTCCCCCAAACGAAAAAATCCCGTTACTTGCCCTTTAATTCTGAAAACCGCGTCCAATGAGGGTGTGACACGCCCATGTACAGGATGATCTCGGGGAGGAGGCCGACATTGTTTGTGAATACACTTCTAGAGGAACACACTGAGAACTGGCTTCATCGTCTTTCTGTGGGTTAGTGATGCTCAGGGATAATAGTGGTCCATTAACGCCAAATCAACCAACACATGTTAATATGCACTGTTCCAGCACACTGGAGCCTTAGGAGGGTAGGAAAACTATTTTCCTGAAAACTAGTTGGCACTAGGTCAAATAGGATGAAAGAAACTGCAAACAGGTGTTAGAGGAAATTGGTTATAAAGCTTTGGTTTATAACAACAACCTGTAGTCTTACTGTCAACTCCTCAAAATTCTGAACCCTTTGAAACAAGAAAAAAATGGACTCTTGTCAGTTGTGAGGAAAACAGTTTGCGATGAAAGAACCCTCCAGACAAGTCTACATGTAAATATGAGGACAGAAAACCTACTGACATGAGCATAGTGACAGCATTTGTAAAACATTGAATTTCAGGATTCCAATTGATTGTCAAAAGATATTAACTTGTGCACAAAACCGAGGTCATCCATTTTGACCCACAGATCTGTGTTCAAGTTGGTGTTGTGAAAGAGAGTCTATAGATGTGATGCTGCAGTGGTTCCTGTGCCAAAGCGAGAAATGAAGTGACGCCGTGTTCAAAGTTTATGTCTTCAAGCATGTGACCAGATGATTTTCACCAGTGAAAGACACCAAATCTTTATGATATTTACCGAATATATGTCTACTTGGTACTCAAATCGTCACTACAATGACGTTGAAATTTTCTAAAAATCGTTCCTGGCGTACTGCATCATTAGCTGTCTTGATGTGTTAGACACAACATTAATCCTTTGAAATATAGGCATCACAGAATACATATTTACATTTCAATCTAGCTGACATTTTACCATGCATGGTGCAGGGCCAACATGAAATACACAAGGCCCTGAAGCTGAATTTTACACCACAGACTCGGCAACTATCTGAAAGCTTGGTCATGCTGGTGCAGGGCTGGAGACTAAGCAGATAGGCCCCTGAAGGAGAATAATTTAATTATCCTTACTTGTTGGATCAAGGACTAAACTCCACTCACCACTTCCCCCATTTTGTTCTTTGCATATTCAATACGAAGTCCTCCTCGATCAGAAGAGAGCAAAACAAAGCCTTGAAGGCGATTCATTGCCATTGAGGCCTGAGCAACATCCTGCAACAAACAACAAAACATCAGTTGCCTCCCTTTAACTTACCTCCCTTTGATATTATCTCCCTTTAATACTGCCTGTACAAACTCAACATGTTATTGCATTTTCTTTTAAAAGCTGACATAATAATCATATATCTGTCGATTTCTCCATTTGTGAAGTCAAGTCCCTTTTTTGCTGTTTGTATTGGAAGGGAACTTTGATACCATTTGATAAATACATCCATAATGGCAGTTTAAATAATAACAGTGATGATACTGCTACACAGTCTCTGGTGCCACCAGGGGTATTGGTCACCAGTACCTCATGCTTGTCACGAAGTGAGTGAGTGAGTGAGTGAGTTGGGTTTAATGCCCGTTCTAACAGTATTCCAGTTATATTACGGCGTGTCAGATTAATGTTGGAGGAAAGCCCGAAGTGAAGCAGGTCTCAGAAGTTTACCACTTCGGTGAAACCCACGAGCACGGATATGGTGCTGACGAATCTAGAAACATAATCGGGGCGAACCAGGATTCAAACCCACAATCATAGATTTCTGGCGTGCCCAAGGGACGCAACTCTGCACAGCGAATCGCGGCGCCCGAAATATCATTAAAAAGCATCATTAGTGGCTTCCAAGTAATGACTGACTGTTCCATCTGTACCCCATAGTGACAATTTGCAATAACTCGGGTATTTTTATTAACCCGTAACAGCTCGGAATCAAATTATTCGTGAGCCATACTCAAAGGTCCGTGCTTCTTCATTTTACTGTTATCATTTGTTATACATTTCCAAAAACAAAATTCAATATAAAAGTCTGAGTTTCTGAGAATTTTATATAATGTTTGTATCAAAATATATACTGTATTCGACGTAATAAGTGTCCAGGGCGCTCTCAAAATTAGAAATAGGGGGCTCTTATTAGAATATTATTTTAGTGAAAAAAAGTTAAAATTTAAAAGATAAATTTTGTGGTTTATGCTGACAGCCTGAAATGTTTATGTACGACAGATATATGTTTCCAGAATTTAATTGCTCATAATTAAGTGTGCATATAACACACGAGTGCGTATTATACGTGAATAAATAAGTCTTGTGTACATTGATCAATCGGAAGGGGTACTAATTAGGATTGTTCACTGGCAAATATCGCGGTGGGCGCTTATTAGAGCGGGGCGCTCATTACGTCGAATACGGTATATTAAAATACCTGTTATAGCAGACGTATGGTTATACAGTGGTAACATTGTGTCACGTTGTTGATTGTGGGGCCTTGTACCCATATCGTATAGGGGTGTGCTATATAACTGGAATACTGGTATATTTCAACACAGCCATCAGCAACACACATATCGCAAGACAACCCCTGCGCAGCAATATTTTCCGATAAAGTCACAGAAGAATTAATACATAATAACATAAATTATATCTACTATCTTGAGGCATTTGGATGGACCGGGTTCCAATATAAACCACGTAAACATTCCACACTGATGACGCAATAGCTAGTCTCGTTTATAGTAGAAACCAAACTACCCATCTCGCAATCTGAAGTCGGGATTATTGAATGAAGAAGTACCATTTGAACAGTACAAATATATATTTGGGACCCAATACGTATTGCAATATGTATAGCTATATAGCTCTCCATATTGCAATACATTGCCATACGATTTATGTGCCACAACGCCCAACCTATATCTTAGTATGTCCGAGTCCTATGATGGCACTCCAACCACAGACTTTCTCATCCGAAGTTGGACAGCTTGTCACATGACCAAAGAGTGAGTGAGTGAGTGAGGTTTTATGCCGCTTTTAGAAATATTCCAGCAATATCACGGCGGGGGACACCAGAAATGGGCTTCACACATAATACCAATGTCGGGAATCGAACCCGGGTCTTCGGTGTGATGAGCGAACGCTTTAACCACTAGGCTACCCGACCGTCCCACATGACCAAAGATGTTAGCCATGAGAGTAAGCTGGCAAGGTAAGGATGTCGTCTGTGACTTGACTCCGTACCCTGCTACACTATCAACCTTTGATCTGCCTGTTCCAGTCTTGACCATTTACAGACAGGATCAACCTCACCTTATCTCTCGGCAATTTGCAGATCTATTCTTGGAATACCAAATTGGATCTATTTTTAGTCAATAACTGCAATGAATGCCCTTTTGTTAAAAGTCGGCACCGTAGGATAGTGCAGGACAAGAGTATCAGTGTTTTTCTCCCCTCTCAAACAGACTTACAATCAAACTGTTGACTTTTCACTTTGAATCATTGTTATTAAATCAACAATGACATACGTTTTAATTAAAATGACTTGACTTTACAGTGGCTTCAAACAAGTTATTATGAATATTTGTAAGTTTGAGAAACATAAGCCCATCAAATAACAGAATGTAGAGTAAAGGCAGCATTAAAATGTCAGCCTCTCATCCAGGTCTAGACATTGTGATTGATGCTGTGTGAAAATAACACCCTGTCTCGATCTAATGAGGATCAACATCCATCTGGAAGAGCACCACCGAGACTAGTCTGTGTTGTTAAAATGACCCGATACAACATGGTTGGACTGGACTACATAGTGCTTCCACAACTCCACCCTGCTTGGCCCCTGTGGGAGGGGACGCCTCCGTGGTCTAGTGGTAGAGCGTCCACCCAGAGAGCGGAAGGTCCGGGGTTCGGTTCCCGGCCGCGTCATACCAAAAGACGTTAAAAGATGGTACTTGTTGTTGCCCTGTCTGACATTCGGTCGGCTCAGAGTCACTATACTGTGTCTGAGTGGGGTATCCATGTTAAACTGGTATCTCAGTGAGCTAGCACTATAAATCGGCATCAGTCCGGACTTGTACAAGCAGCCACACACACATGTGCATGCACGTCACTATATAAGTGCAATAATCTTGGATGCGACGTTAAACCCCATTTCACATCACCTCACCTCACCTCACCTCTGTGAGGTGCTACGTCCCCAGAGTGAGTGAGTGAGGTTTTCTGTCACTTCTAACATATTCCAGCCATAGTATGGGAAATAGCATGGACAATCAAACAAGGTCTTCATTCTAATAAGCAAACACTTCCAGCACCAGGCTAACCCACCTCCCAGATCTGTTAACAAATTGCTTCTGAAAACGCAAATGATTATTTTGAGGCCAAGAATGATACTCAAGTTTACCACTCATGGTACGTTAGCATAATGACTCATTCGAAAGGGGGAAAATACTTTTCGCCCCATAATAGCATGGGTAGTTTCTGAAATTTGAAAACATTATATTCTAGGGTTGACAACTAGACAGATTCCCCTCCTAGTACCTGGTAACATCTACATTTTGCACTGATTACAAGGAATTTCTTTCTGAAAGATCAAAATCAACACTGAAGGGTTAACAACGACGGGCCATGGACGTTTTTCGAGACACACATGCAGCCTTAACATGCAGAACTGAGGAGATGTGGACACTGGAATGACGGATGGATGGAGCCAAAACCTAAAACACACCTGGTATTCTACAAAAGCTACAGGTGATCCTCCTTTATTGTGCATACGCAGTCGGCTAAATCCTGCAAAACTGAAACAGAAAAAAAGCAAAATAATGTCAGCAGGAAAGAGCAAAACACTTCAAGGGGGGTAACTGTGGACAGCTTTGTGGTTAGGAGAGTTCCTTCCCTTAGATTCCAATTCTGGAGTCATTTCAGAAGTTATTGATTTTTCTTCTTTGATGCTGGACGTCTTGTGATGGTTAGAAATCACATTTACCTTTAATTCCACGCTATCAACGTTTGATGTAGTTTGTCATGGTATAAACATAATTACTGATATACGTCTTCATAAAGATCAATGGATGTCATTAGAAAGAAGGAGAGTCTAAAGAATTGCATTTCTAGTTATGCTTCCACATGTTAAGTTGTGTATTGTATTACTTCAATGAAGGACAACTGTGTAAGGCTCTTACCCTTACATTCTCTGTATACAAATTATCAATTATGACCATATTTACCGATACCAGATAAATATCATACAAAATTGACAATTTGAGACCATAAACGATTACTTGATATAAATGCAAAGAGTCTGTTAGAAAAGCAAGAAAGAAGGGAGGTAACTCTCCTAAAATTGTGCATCAAGGGACATAATTTGTCTATGAGTGCATGAAACTTATTGTTTAGAAATACACCACATTAAAACAAGTGCATTCAGCGACAATTGTCTCATCTTTATAAAAATCCAAGAGAATTTCAAGATTGATCTGAAAATAGTCAATTGAATCATGTTTACAAAATCCGAAAATTTCCATTATTTTTAGAGTTGAAGTTTGTGGTGTAAAACTAAAGCTGAGTTGATTACAATGCAGGGAAGAAATGTACGCTGAAAATACCATGAGGAAATAGTCAACCATAGAACATTCTGTGAGTGGCATGGCCATGTGTTCACAAGTGATACGCATGGCTACATGGTTGGAACACAAGAGTACAAAGTCACTCAGTTGCAATGGAATAAAAAAAATTCACGTTCAAAATCATAAGTGGTTCTGTACAGACAAGTCAATGGTATGAATGTGGTACGAAGACTGTACAGTACGTCAACACAAAAACTAGCACAAGTTTCCACAAATCAAGAACACTTCACAAACAACAAGTTACCTCGACCAAAGACATTGGTGCTAGTTCTTTCCCCTGCGAATTTTGGTTCAAACTTTTACTCAATATGGATCTAAAATGTATACATAAATCAATTTAGATATGTTTGAAAATCAGAAAATTCAACCACATAATTTGCCACATTGTTTCAAAATTATTTCAAAGCAGCCAATTGGCGCCATATTTCCACTTAGGGTGGGCTGGAAACTTGAGGTTTGTAACTAGTTGTCATGAAACACTGATACATGTACGTCAGCAGATGATTGGGTGTTGATGCACGGAGCGTGTTGCCAAGTTCAAACATGCTGGTTTCCTAACAACCTAACATACTGCCTGTCTACCTTAGTGCCCCTCAACCGACTTTACCAGCTAACATGTGCAGCTATGTTCTACATAAAGGTGACTGTAGCAAGACATCAAATTGTTCCACTAGATTAATCAAGCCCCAAATACTGCTTTAAGTGCGATTTACTTGTCCCCATGCCATCTGATGCTCACATCTTCGTGGACATGACCCCTCAAAAGACATTCTCAAAGAGCTGTTGAACAACTTACAAGTATATTTTCAGTGGCCATTGTTTCAAACCACAACATATTTCTCAAAAGTCATTTGAACTAAAGTTGCTGAAACCTATGCAGACAGATTTGCTGAAGACCTTTTTGTTTTATTTCACCCACTAAAATGATTTCAAACCTCACTCCCATGGTCAAAGACCTGTTAAAAATAGAAGCACCCCTGGCGGCCATTGGTTCTAACCATTCTTGATTTTTCGGTAACAATTTTTGGCCTCAGTTCCAAATCCATCTTACAAATAGCGTGGCCTCACCTGTTAAACAAGTCTTTGAGTTCTTGTTCTGAGCTAAACTGTCCCAAATTAGCTACAAACAACGTGGAACAGGGGGCATTCTGCTGTGCGGAGGTGGTGGTGGTATTCACCTGCGACACCGGGCTAGCGAGGACAGGCGTGGACGCCATTGAGGGGTGGGGCACGGCCGTCACGGTAGCTTGCGGAGCTATCAGAGTGGTGGGCTGAACTTGGGGGAAAACAGAGTTCAGCTGCTCTGTGAACATACCGGCCTGGAAGAGAACACAGACGGGGGTCAACATGGTGGCATGAAACAAAACAGTCGATGACATTCTCCGGTCTGTGTGTCCTGGTGGCTCAGCTGGCAGGGAGAGAGTGGGAAGGAGAATACGGGGATGGGGAATATGGGGATGGGGAATGCTGGGGTGGGGGAATACTGGGATGGGGAATATGGGGTTGAGGAATATGGGGAATACTGGGATGGGAAATACAGGGATGGGAAATATGGGGATGGGGAAGACGGGGAATACTGGGATGGTGAATACGGGGATGGGGAATACGGGGATGGGGAATATAGGGATGGGGAATACAGGGATGAGGAATATGGGGAATACTGAGATGAGGAATATGGGGAATACTAGGATGGGGAATACTGGGATGAGGAATATGGGGAATACTGGGATGGGAAATACAGGGATGAGGAATATGGGGAATACTGAGATGAGGAAAATGGGGAATACTTGGATGGGGAATACAGGGATGAGGAATATGGGGAATACTGAGATGAGGAATATGGGAAATACTGGGATGGGGAATACAGGGATGAGGGATATGGGGAATACTGAGATGAGGAATATTGGGAATACTGGGATGGGGAATATGGGGATGGGGAAGACGGGGAAGACGGGGAATACTGGGATGGGGAATACGGGGATGGGGAATACAGGGATGGGGAATACAGGGATGGGGAATACGGGGATGGGGAATATCGGGATGGGGAATACAGGGATGAGGAATATGGGGAATACTGAGATGAGGAATATGGGGAATACTGGGATGGGGAATACTGGGATGAGGAATATGGGGATGAGGAATACGGGGAATACTGGGATGGGGAATATTGGGATGAAGAATACGGGGGATACCTGGATGGGGATTATGGGGATGGGGAATAATGGGGATTGGGAATACGGGGATGGGGAAAACGGGGATGGGGATGGGGATGGGGATGGGGAATGCCTAAATGGGGAATAAAGGGGTAGGGAATAAGGGGATAGGGAATAAGGGGATGAGGAATATGGGGAGGGGTAATACTGGGATGGGAAATATTTAGCTAGATTAAAAGAGAACTTACACCTTGTAAAAAAAATAGCTGTCAAATGAAAAGTCAAGTCAAGACAAGCCAGAAAGACAAATCATTGACTTATCCTGAAATACAATCAAGACTGACACTGGGGAGGAAACTGTATTGGGTAGGCTTGGAGCGGAAAGTGAATTGGAGGTGGGTGGTAATTGGGTGGATCTGCGATAGGTGACTGGGTGGTGGGTGACTGGGTGGCGGGTGGATGGGTGGTGGGTGGATGGGTGGAAGGTGACTGGGTGGTTGGTGGTGGGTGGAAGGTGGGATTGGAAATACTGGGGAAGACTGATAGAGAAGGACCAGTCTGGCCTATTGACAAGCTGCCCAAGGTGTTGTGTTACACCAGCTGGGAGCCGACCACATGCCGACCATTCATGCTGATAGCCACTTCCCTTGGAATTGTGGGCATTGATTCTCCGTAACAAGAACTGGCAGTTCGGACAGTGCCATACAGAATTTAGTTATCACAATTGTGCCTCGATGAAAAGATAAATGGATCGTTGTAAGGTGTGAACAAGAAACAGTTTTTGGTCGGGGCTGGACAATTTGTGGCAATGGCTGGTTGATCGAGCCCCCATTACCAGAGCAACAAAGCTCAATGTTCGCCTGAGGCTCCCGAATTAAGATAAACAGTTTTCCAGAAAGTAGCATTAACTACATTCGCTTATCGGGCTCCCTAGGTAATTTAGACAAAGTGCAAGGCGTGAAGCTAACAAGCATCTTAGAAGTAGCTGACACCGAAGCACTGCCGATTTGATGCAGTGACAAGATTACAGCTTGCTACGACTCATCTGCAGCAAAATAATCCCCTTAGATTTTGTCACTCCTAATTTACTCACAGGTAAATAAATCTATTTCAGTCAATGAGATTAATACATTTTAGAGACAGGCTCGGAATGCATCAACATATTACCAATGATTCCCTTGGGCATTCTAATGTTAGCTTTTCATAAAAGCTAAGGATGAGTGGCGGAATGCTATTTTCCTGAATCAGTGGCTTCTGTTCTCATTTCAACAAATCAACAAACACACCAGCTTGGGGAACACCAGCTTGGGGAACACCAGCTGGAGTGATGGAGGGTGGTAGAATAGACACACAAGATGGGTGCTTCTTCGACTTGGGAAGGTTGGGTGGAGGTTGGGGGGTTGTGTTGGGGCGGATTGGGGGTGGAGGGTTGTTGGTTGTGAGAGTTGGCTGTGGACAATGATTGGCAGCTATGATATTGGAGGTTGGGGTTGGGTTGGGGTTGGGGTTGGGGTAGCAGTGGTAGGTTGTGCCTGGTAGCTGAGGTTGGGGATGTGGTCAGGGGTTGGGGGGGTCAGCGTTGATGGGGATGTGGTCAGGGGTTGGGGGGTCAGCATTGATGGGAATGTGGTCAGGGGTTGGGGGGTCAGCATTGGTGGGGATGTGGACAGGGGTTGGGGGGTCAGTGTTGGTGGGCATGTGGTCAGGGGTTGGGGGTCAGCGTTGGTGGGGATGTGGACAGGGTTGGGGGGGTCAGCGTTGATGGGAATGTGGTCAGGGGTTGGGGGGTCAGCATTGGTGGGGATGTGGACAGGGGTTGGGGGGTAGCGTTGGTGGGGATGTGGACAGGGTTGGGGGGGGTCAGCGTTGATGGGAATGTGGTCAGGGGTTGAGGGGTCAGCATTGGTGGGGATGTGGACAGGGGTTGGGGGTCAGCGTTGGTGGGGATGTGGACAGGGTTGGGGGTCAGCATTGGTGGGGATGTGGACAGGGTTGGGGGTCAGCATTGGTGGGGATGTGGACAGGGTTTGGGGTCAGCGTTCGTGGGGATGTGGTCAGGGGTTGGGGGGTCAGCATTGGTGGGGATGTGGACAGGGTTGGGGGTCAGCGTTGGTGGGGATGTGGTCAGGGGTTGAAGGGTCAGCATTGGTGGGGATGTGGACAGGGTTGGGGGTCAGCATTCGTGGGGATGTGGACAGGGTTTGGGGTCAGCGTTCGTGGGGATGTGGACAGGGTTGGGGGTCAGCGTTGGCGGGAATGTGGTCAGGGGTTGGGGGGTCAGCATTGGTGGGGATGTGGTCAGGGTTGGGGGTCAGCGTTGGTGGGGATGTGGTCAGGGTTGGGGGTCAGCATTGGTGGGGATGTGGACAGGGTTTGGGGTCAGCGTTCGTGGGGATGTGGACAGGGGTTGGGGGGTCAGCATTGGTGGGGATGTGGTCAGGGGTTGAAGGGTCAGCATTGGTGGGGATGTGGACAGGGTTGGGGGTCAGCATTGGTGGGGATGTGGACAGGGTTTGGGGTCAGCGTTCGTGGGGATGTGGACAGGGGTTGGGGGTCAGCGTTGGTGGGGATGTGGTCAGGGGTTGAAGGGTCAGCATTGGTGGGGATGTGGACAGGGTTGGGGGTCAGCATTGGTGGGGATGTGGACAGGGTTTGGGGTCAGCGTTCGTGGGGATGTGGACAGGGGTTGGGGGTCAGCGTTGGTGGGGATGTGGTCAGGGGTTGAAGGGTCAGCATTGGTGGGGATGTGGACAGGGTTTGGGGTCAGCGTTCGTGGGGATGTGGACAGGGGTTGGGGGTCAGCGTTGGTGGGGATGTGGTCAGGGGTTGAAGGGTCAGCATTGGTGGGGATGTGGACAGGGTTGGGGGTCAGCATTCGTGGGGATGTGGACAGGGTTTGGGGTCAGCGTTCGTGGGGATGTGGACAGGGTTGGGGGTCAGCGTTGGCGGGGATGTGGACAGGGTTGGGGGTCAGCATTGGTGGGGATGTGGACAGGGTTGGGGGTCAGCATTGGTGGGGATGTGGTCAGGGGTTGAGGGGTCAGCGTTGGTGGGCATGTGGACAGGGTTGGGAGTCAGCATTGGTGGGGATGTGGACAGGGTTGGGAGTCAGCATTGGTGGGGATGTGGACAGGGTTTGGGGTCAGCGTTCGTGGGGATGTGGACAGAGTTGGGGGTCAGCGTTGGCGGGGATGTGGACAGGGTTGGGGGTCAGCATTGGTGAGGATGTGGTCAGGGGTTGGGGGACATGGTAAAGAGGGTAGAGGCACCTGTACACGAATACAAAGACATGATGAAGAGACATTATATAAGATCCATAACAAATATCTGGCATAGTTATATTCACAAAAATTTCTTCCAAAAACATTTATCTGCCATATGATACTGACTGTATGCATAGCTCTGACAATTGGAAGTATGCCAATCATTTGCAAAACAACAGAATAAGTAATCAATGCATTTAATTTTCAAATTAAGCAACACACAAACATTTCATTTCTACAAGCCCTTGCTAAAGATTCTCACTTTAATCAATTTCTTATTGCACTATACAAACTAGAGCCATTTGTAAAAAAGCAAGTACCAGTATAAGCACAAAAAAAATAGTCTGATTATATGGTGGAGTTGTACAGAGTGCAAGAACCTGCAGCAACGGAGAATTTCAGGATTTTATGTTTAAACCGTTGCTTTACTTAATGTTCAGGGTCACTGATTACAACATTCCTTCCTGATAGATGTTCAGTTAACATCTGATTCAATAAAGCTTTCAGGACTTTTAAAAAGGAAAAGTTTAATTTCCAGGTAGTCTAAAATAAAATATTCTGATTGTCATCATTAAAATAAATTATTTTCATGGTTCTATAAAAAATAACCAAAAGTTCAATGTGATCTGGTTTTAACAAATGACATTTCAATCTGGACACTGAATCTGTTCGAATTAATCCCATATCACTAATTTGAATGCAACAAAAATTCTTTTTTCAAATTTAAATAACCAAATTTGTTTTAAAATACCCAAAATTTCGTCAGATTCAAGACAATCATTCGGATTTATCAATCATTAAGGGCCAAAATATCTCAGGTCAATCATTCAAATCTGAATTTCTGAACTCTTTCAAAATAGGTCTGATTTTTGAAGTCACCAGTTTGCATCTAAATTCATAAATTCTTTTTTCGAATAGGCCAGAATTGTTTGTGTCAGGCATGTTGAGCCAGAAGTTGTGAGAGAAGGAAGGAGAATTTCTCCATTCCTTGAAGAGGTGTGAGATCGGACCAACCTGGTATTGCCATAGGGAGCCAGGAGATGTTGCAAAGGGTTGTGGTGGTTTCTGAATCTGATGTAGTAGACAAATTGCTAGTAAATCATCGACAAATTGGAATTGAAATATTCAGCTTCTTTGGATTTCAATAAAGGTGTGATCCTAGGATTTTTCTGTCATAAAACACAAGTTTAAGCCTGGATTTTCTTGCTCAATACTTGTCGGTTTTATTTAGTGAACCGACTTACGTCAACTGTATCTGCACAAGGCGCGACACTCCACAGCTTTCTATCTTATTGCAGTGCTGCGAAGAGCACATTCCTTAGTCCACTAGTCATTATAATGATAGCATATAGCAAAACCCTTAAAATTGGCAAATTTCTACTAGTCCTTATGATACCTTAACTATTTAGCAGTTTGGCAAGGACTAACAATTTCTAACACTGCTTAGTTTATTTCTGCAGCGGAAATGATATGGTATGGATACTTTCTATTGTTTTCCGACTAAAATAGACATTGAAAAGTGTAACACAACAGAATGATACGCATCCAAACATAACGATGTAATACGCACCTGTACATAATGGCATGATTTGCACCCATACATAACGATGTAATACGCACCCATACATAACGACGTAATACACATCCATACATAAATGCCTGATACCCACCTATACATAACGACATGATACGCACCCATACATAACGACGTGATACGCACCCATACAAAACGACGTAATACTCACCCATACATAACTGCCTGATACGCACCCATACATAACTGTGTGATACGCACCCATACATAACAGTGTGATACTCAAAATACATAACGATGTAATACGCACCCATACATAACTGCCTGATACGCACCCATACATAACAGTGTGATAAGCACCCATACATAACAGTGTGATACGCACCCATACATAACTGTGTGATACGCACCCATACATAACAGTGTGATACGCACCCATACATAACAGTGTGATACGCACCAATACAAAACTGTGTGATACGCACCCATACATAACTGTGTGATACGCACCCATACATAACTGTGTGATTAATCCCATATCACTAATTTGAATGCAACAAAAATTCTTTATTCAAATTTAAATAACCAAATTTGTTTTAAAATACCCAAAATTTTGTCAGACAATCATTCGGATTTTTCAATCATTATGGGCCAAAATATCTCAGGTCAATCATTCAAATCTGAATTTCTGAACTCTTTCAAAATAGGCTTGACTTCTTAAGTCACTAGTTTGCATCTTAATTCGTAAATTCTTTTTTCGAATAGGCCAGAATTGTTTGTGTCAGGCATGTTGAGCCAGAAGTTGTGAGAGAAGGAAGGAGAATTTCTCCATTCCTTGAAGAGGTGTGAGATTGGACCAACCTGGTATTGCCATAGGGAGCCAGGAGATGTTGCAAAGGGTTGTTGTTGTTTCTGAATCTGATGTAGTAGACAAATTGCTAGTAAATCATCGACAAATTGGAATTGAAATATTCAGCTTCTTTGGATTTCAATAAAGGTGTGATCCTAGGATTTTTCTGTCATAAAACACAAGTTTAAGCCTGGATTTTCTTGCTCAATACTTGTCGGTTTTATTTAGTGAACCGACTTACGTCAACTGTATCTGCACAAGGCGACGTGATACTCACCCATACATAACTGTGTAATACGCACCCATACATAAGTGCCTGATACCCACCCATACATAACTGTGTGATACGCACCCATACATAACTGTGTGATACGCACCCATACATAACGGCGTGATATGCACCCATACATAACTGTGTGATACGCACCCATACATAACTGTGTGATACGCACCCATACATAACTGTGTGATACGCACCCATACATAACTGTGTGATACGCACCCATACATAACTGTGTGATACGCACCCATACATAACTGTGTGATACGCACCCATACATAACTGTGTGATACCCACCCATACATATTGACGAAATACGCACCCATACATAACGACGTAATACTCACCCATACATAACGACGTGATACTCACCCATACAAAACGACGTACTATGCACCCATACATAACAATGTAATACGCACCAATACATAACTCCCTGATACGCACCCATACATAGCGACATAAAACGCACCCACAAGGTGAACGCCAAATCTCACTGATATAACGCAGAAAGCTAGGAGTGTCCACAGCCTGTGGAGAGACCGATGGCCTTTGGTGTAAAACGGACAAATTAAACAGTTTTTTTTCCATACTGGCTGACAAATCCATGATGACACCTTCAATAAACAGTGCTCTGGGAAGAAACCCATTACGCTTGGCGTCATCTTCCCAAAGGTTTGGAACCTCCTCCAATGAGATAAGGAACCCCTTTTTTTTCAGGTGTGACAACCAAACAGGTTATTTTCTTGAACTCTGTGCATCTTTCAAAGATGTTAACGTCATTGCATATAAACATGGGCAAAACAAACAAGTAAAACATGATGGGTATGCACACCTAAGAATCCAATTTCAAATTTTCAATTTGAATTGAATAAATTTCCAAATTTGACCCCCCAAATTTTGTAATGGACTGGTCCATTTCTTTTATAAATTTCCAAATTTGACCCCCCAAATTTTGAAATGGACTGGTCCATTTCTTTCATAAATTTCCAAATTTGACCCCCCAAATTTTGAAATGGACTGGTCCATTTCTTTTAGATTGATGTCCACGTTTAAGTTAAACAGGTGTGCATACCGCGACTTCATTTATTGCACTGTGCAAAACATTAGAGAATGTTCAGGTGAGTTAGATGAGCTGTCTGAATGGTGTGCAGGTTATTTCAACAACCATTACTTCGGATATCTGTGCAGTGCACATCATGTGGTGAGATTGTTGAAGCCAAACTAACAACTGACCTATATTAAGAACATTACACAACAACAACACTAAACAAACAATATAGAACTGTGAAGTATCAACATATTGGTATCGAACACAAACATTAAAACCACTAGATTGCTTTTATACTTTCCAAAATCCCTATTATCATGTGCAAAACATCATAACATTTTCTGACGAAATTATCAAATATGATTGTTGATAAGAATTAGTTTTAATAAACTTAAACTGTGAACGACTGTGATAATATCTGCACCTAGCGTTTAAGCTGCATCATAAACCCGAATAAAAAGAATATTATTCTCAAAATCAACGGACCTTCAAAAATCTTAAGCACAAATGGATTACAATGAAAAAGAGAAAAAAATAATTTTGGCTTTTTTTAAGCAGGATGAAAAATCATTCGTGGGTAAAAGTGATCAAATGATGAACTTGTTCTGCAAATTAACGACTAACACCTGTAAACCAAAACAATAAAATAAAGGAAATCCACATTTGGGAACAGAAAATTCCTCTGTATGACTTTTTGACAGACATGTGGAAGATAATTATCCCTATGTAACGCAATAAGTAAAGGCAGTTATGCTCAATTGCTCGAGTGCCATGCTTATATATGTGATTGTTGACGGAATTAGTTTCAGAAAGTGTACTGAACGTGTCTCTTGACAAGTGTTTACTGAGAAAAGGGCAAACAAAGAGAAATGATTCACTTCATCAGACATCGCAACCAAAAAATGGGAGGTAGTTATGAAAGACGTTTGAAATGCCCTTCCATTCAAGGGAGATAACTCAAGATGTTTGCCATTTCAACCATGCGGGCCTGTGCTTAAAGTTAGCATCTCAGTGTTTCAGGGCCTTAGTGGGCTTAGTAGGTGAGATTTGCATGTGTTCTGAAGTTGCTGCCACAGAGCATTCAGGGTGGCTTAGTACAAGTGGACTTGGAGTGGACTTATGGTGGACTTGAAGTGGACCGTCATCATGCTTGGAAGTGTTGCCAAAGCATGTTCTGGAATTTGGAAAAGGTGAACTTAAGTAGAACTTAAGCTGATTGTCAAATATGGGAGGTGTGCTTAAGTATACCTTTCTAGAACTTGAGGGGTTTCAACCTGAAACATGTACATAACACATCAAACATACCAGACTAAAATACAGTAGCTAGGAAAGTAGTATGTGACAGATCAAGAATTCTCTGACCAGGAGAAGGGAAGTAGTATGTGACATATCTGGAATTCTCTGACTAGGAGTTAGGGAAGAAGTCTGTGACAGATCTAGAATTTTCTGACTAGGAATTAGGGAAGTAGTATGTGACATATCTAGAATTCTCTGATAAGGATAATGGAAGTAGTAAGTCATCCTAATGCCACTGACCTACAAACTATTTAAGTCATTCTAACGCCCCTTTCCCACACACTATTTAAGTCATCCTAATGCCACTTACCTACAAACTATTTAAGTCATTCTAACGCCCCTTTCCTACAAACTATTTAAGTCGTCCTAATGCCTCTTTCCTACAAACTATTTAAGTCATCCTAACGCCCCTTTCCTACAAACTATTTAAGTCATCCTAACGCCCCTTTCCTAAAAACTATTTAAGTCATCCTAACGCCCCTTTCCTACAAACTATTTAAGTCATCCTAATGCCTCTTTCCTACAAACTATTTAAGTCATCCTAATGCCCCTTTCCTACAAACTATTTAAGTTGTCCTAACGCCCCTTTCCTACACACTATTTAAGTCATCCTAACGCCCCTTTCCTAAAAACTATTTAAGTCATCCTAACTCCCCTTTCCTACACACTATTTAAGTCATCCTAACGCCCCTTTCCTAAAAACTATTTAAGTCATCCTAACGCCCCTTTCCTACAAACTATTTAAATCATCCTAATGCCACTTTCCTACACACTATTTAAGTCATCCTAATACCCCTTTCCTACAAACTATTTAAGTCATCCTAACGCCCCTTTCCTACAAACTATTTAAATCATCCTAATGCCACTTTCCTACACACTATTTAAGTCATCCTAATACCCCTTTCCTACAAACTATTTAAATCATCCTAACGCCCCTTTCCTACAAACTATTTAAGTCATCCTAACGCCCCTTTCCTACAAACTATTTAAGTCATCCTAACGCCCCTTTCCTACAAACTATTTAAGTCATCCTAATACCCCTTTCCTACAAACTATTTAAGTCATCCTAACGCCCCTTTCCTACAAACTATTTAAGTCATCCTAACGCCCCTTTCCTACAAACTATTTAAGTCATCCTAACGCCCCTTTCCTACAAACTATTTAAGTCATCCTAACGCCCCTTTCCTACAAACTATTTAAGTTGTCCTAATACCCCTTTCCTACAAACTATTTAAGTCATCCTAACGCCCCTTTCCTACAAACTATTTAAGTCATCCTAACGCCCCTTTCCTACAAACTATTTAAGTCATCCTAACGCCCCTTTCCTACAAACTATTTAAGTCATCCTAACGCCCCTTTCCTACAAACTATTTAAGTCATCCTAACGCCCCTTTCCTACAAACTATTTAAGTCATTCTTATGCCACTTTCCTACAAACTATTTAAGTCATCCTAATGCCCCTTTCCTACAAACTATTTAAATCATCCTAACGCCCCTTTCCTACAAACTATTTAAATCATCCTAATGCCACTTTCCTACAAACTATTTAAGTCATCCTAATACCCCTTTCCTACAAACTATTTAAGTCATCCTAACGCCGCTTTCCCACAAACTATTTAAGTCATTCTTACGCCACTTTCCTACAAACTATTTAAGTCATTCTTACGCCACTTTCCTACAAACTATTTAAGTCATTCTTACGCCACTTTCCCACAAACTATTTAAGTCATTCTTACGCCACTTTCCCACAAACTATTTAAGTCATCCTAATGCCACTTTCCTACAAACTACTTACACTCCTTTGGCACTTACTGGACTACCACAGCATTACAATAATACTGTGCAAATAATGCTGCAAATTATGAATGATCTGTCTGAACTTTTCACCATCCAACATCTTTGAAAAAGCTGCTTTACCTTACAATCTGTCTCAACATTTAATATATTTGAAAAAGCTGCCCTATCACAAAATCTAATTTACAGATGTTTCCATTCATATGAAACTTCACAAACATCGACACCTTCAGTCTACAACATACTCAACCTGTTTCTCCAATAATTACATCCCTTTCACCAACAGTAACAGAAACGTCACTCTCTCAGTACCTATATGCTATTTCAAAACTGAAATATCAATATTGTCCTTTGAATCCTGCACAACATTGAAACTAGAAATGCTGACCCGATTTTCAGCCATTGACATTTTCTTCAAATTTACTGCTCAAATACAAATATACTTTTGTTAGATTCCTTTAAATTTCTCTCCAACACATACTACGAGTATTTATGTAAAGACTGTCACAATGTTTCCACGACATTAACAGGTGCAGCACATGGTGTAGAATTACACAGATTACCCTAGCTAGTGTCACACAGACCACAGAGTTACAACTGACCACTACGACTGACCGACCGATGACCAACCGACCGACCGACGACCGACCGACGACCGACCGAAGACCGTCCGACGACCGAAGACCGTCCGACGACCGACCGACCGTCAAACCAACCGTCCGATGGACCGTCTGACTGACTGACCGACCGACCGGCCAGCCGACCGACCGTCCGACTGACGACCAACCAACCGTTCAATCGTTCAACCGACGACTGACCGTTCAATCGTTCAATCGTTCAACCGACCGACGACCAACCGACGACCGACCATTCAATCGTTCAACCGACCGACGACCAACCGACCGGCGCCGTAGGGCCCGTCCTCCTCGGTGTTTCTTTGCACTGTGCAATAAATGAAGGAGAGGAAACACTAACCCGCACCGGTACCTGTGCTAGCGCCGGGTGTTGAATAAGTGCAGTGTGGTGTAGCGCTGCCGCAGTTGGTGCCAGTTCGGGGTACGGAGCAAGAGGGTGGGGGGCCCAAGCTTCGGGGCAGCCCGGGAAAAAGGCGGCACCTAACTCTTCTGCAAGTGAAGGTAAAAAAGACACGCACACGTGAATTTGCTAGTAGGGTGAGTGAAATACAGAAGGTCATTTGCAAACAAACTTGTCATCTCTCTCTTATAAGCTGCAAGCTTACGATTACCAGCTTCAACACTATTTAATGATTGAATGACATTTTGTTCAAAATACATATTTTTTAAAAATATACCATACATGATTTTGTTTTTATTTAGAAACTAGCATAGATATTTAGAGAAGCTGATATCTGTTTATTGAAACGGAATTATCTAAATTTATAAACATCCTAATTTTGTGACCACCCCATGAGATGGGACATTATGTGTGAAAAATCACTTTTACTTCTCATATTTTAAAACTACAGTATCTTAGGACAACGAAAGTACAATTCATACGTTTCAATTCATATTTATTACAGAGATACATTGTATCAAACATTTGGAATCATTTTCTGAAAAGTCCTATTTTCAGAATAATAACTGTTTATGTCATAATTGCAGTTTTTAGATTAACCTTGTAGACGTATGCTGAAATGTTTTGAAAAACTAGGTAATGTTTTTATTATATTGCAAAAGAACAAGAGAGAAATGAGATATCTGCACTCATTTTTACGGAAGTAAGTGGACGTCAAACGTCTTAATGACGCCACAGCACAACTTTCTTCACAATAAGATTTCATATCTATGAATGAACTTTTTTTAATATTAGTATTAAAGTATTAAAATCTCTTTCCTGATTCTACTGGTGACACCAAAAGTTAGTTACCATTCTGGTTACTTAGTACTTTGAACAAGATGATTTCAGTTAGAAACCTTTGTTCTTGACTGGAATGATATGTATTGCTTATAAATAAACATTAGGTCCTTCTTTATATCAGACAAATTACTGCATCTTGAAAATTTAAAGTTATCTGCTTAACAGCATATTTTATCTAAATTTTATCAGCCAACATATGATTTTGTTTTAACATAATAGAAAGATTCTAACCAATTCTTCTATATCCTGATGTCCTTATTCAACATGTCACGTTCAACTGTTAACTTGCCACTATTTTCATTATTCATCTGCTTCTTCGACGTCCAGAAAGAAAGTCATATCTATTACTAGAATATTCAACATGTTAATCAGTTTTGTTTTTTTGGTTGATTTGTTGTTTAACGCCGCACTCAGCAATATTCCAGCTATATGACGGCGGTCTGAAAATAATCTAGACCAAAAAATCCAGTGATTGATATCATGAGCATCGATCCTCGCAATTTGGCTCGATGACATGCATCTTGTTTCACCCTTGCCACATCAAGCCCACTTTCCTGTGCTAAATATGTTTGGACTATTGCACATATCAATAGCCCATTCAGAGAATGTTTCACAAAATCAGCGTCCACGACTGGTCCTTTGTTTTTGAAAGTGATTTACCGCTGCCTATGTTTTTGTGTCAGGGATGAAATCGCGAATGTTTTCGTTATCTGATCGACTCGGTCGTTGCCTATGGCAGTCGCCATCTTTGTGAAGCTATACGAGATAAGAACAGCGATCTGATTGGATATCATGTTTTCAGTACAAGGGACACAACTCGTGATCTATGAGAGGCGGCGCCAGGGATGAGCCCAAAAAGTGGCCTTCATGTGGCAAGGGAATAAACTAGGCTTTTATAAAGGCTAGTGGACACGCTTGCCTCGGAAATACGACAACCCTATGATACAGCTACTTCAGGTTGTACACTTAATTTACATTACATCGCTTTTTAAGATATTTAAAACCTCATCTTAACCTCATCTAAACCTCATCCAAATCTTATGCAAAGAGTGTTTGATAATTAAGGGGCCATCTGAGAAATTTCTTACATTTTTTAAAAATGAATAATATAATATATTATTAATTCGTGGGGGTTTGTCACCTCCATGTGTGTCTCAGGAAAGACCCAATAGATTTTATTTATAAAGTTATTTATCAACAACAGGCCGTGAGAAGATTGATCTTTATCTTGTTACACTATGGTTATGTCGTACTTTGACTGGGTGTCCATTCAATTGTTTTTAGTTTCTAAGTGCTTTTTGTTATTGAGTGCCTCAAAGTAATTGTGCTTATTCAAGTACTCTATTTGGTGCTTATATTAGAGAGACTCGACATCATATCGTACATATCATCAACACACGTTCAACACACATTCAACAGAGTCCTAGGACCAAGAGTAGAAACCAGTTTGCCTCTCACAGCAGCATGCACAAACAGCCTTTCCCTGCTGGACCAAACCTCGTGGCATCTGATCAACTTACAGAACCTGAGTCATTCTAATGAAATGCCAGACTTTTAAAGAACAGTCGAGAACAGTACATGTGTATATGTCATTGAAATACAGTGAAATCAGCTTCTCCAGACACAGCCATTCCCAGTGAAATATGGATAAACAAAACATGGAGTTATGTCCCTTTGCATACAGACTGACGAGCTACTTCCAACCTTTGTAACACTCTCGGAAACGTCGCTGCCGTTAGTGTGGAAGCAGCCATTACAAGAATATTGAAATTTGCCCTCTAACCCCAAATATAGTCATGTTAATATTTTTGTTCATATCTCTGGGAATGTCGTCATAGTGAATTTTGAAAAGGTTTACAATTGACCAGATTTCCCAGATGAATTTAACTTCTATTTTTATAATCAGATTGGTTTGGACAGAAAATCACCCAACTCCCTCATTAGATTCTAATTCCAATTACATGATAGTTGAAATGAAAGAGCACTTTAAATTGACAAAAAAGGAAGATAATTTAGCTGGGGTAAAAGTATTCAGCGTCATGACAGTCATCACTTGCTTGTAAACATAACGGTCAGTCGGTTACGAGTTCAACTCCAGCCATGGTTATGGCCACCTATCACAGTACGGAGCTTTGACTGGTGGCAGAGATTGTACAGAGCTGTCCGAGATTGGGCTATCGCTGTGAGGAGCTTGAGAGACTGACAGAATCATGTCCCTTTGAATATGGACCAGTAGGAGTAATGTCCCCTTGAATATGGACTGTGAGGAGTAATGTCCCTTTGAATATGGAGCGGGAGGAGTATTGTCCTTTTGAATATGGATCAGGAGGAGTAATGTCCCTTTGAATATGGACCGGGAGGAGTAATGCCCCTTTCTATATGGACTCACAAGCTCCACACAGAGATAGCACTGTACAGAGAGCTCTGCGATGGGGCCAACAGGATTTCACTGTATTGCAATAAAAAATACCATATTTTCCAACATAACGTTTCATGTTTCTTTCAACTTTACTTTTTGCAGGTTGGTCTGTAAGTAGATGAGAGACCTTCGGCTGATTTAGATAGTGCAGGTACACATAAAGCTTGTCCGTGCAAAGCAATGTTATACCGACTCATGATGAAGATGTGCTGAACATACAGAAATATACATAGCAAGACGGGAGTGACACTGGATGTCAGGGTATATATGAACAGATGCAGCCCCACTTCAGCAATATTTCAACCAAGATGAGCTTTGAGAGTCACACAGGGTAAATATGAACAGATGTAGCCCCACTTCAGCAATATTTCAGCCAAGATGAGCAATGAGAGTAACATCGGATGTCAGGGTATATATGAACAGATATAGCCCCACTTCAGCAATATTTCAGCCAATATGAGCGATGAGAGTCACACAGGGTAAATATGAACAGATGCAGCCCCACTTCAGCAACATTTCAGCAAAGATGAGCAATGAGAGTCACACTGGATGTCAGGGTATATATGAAAATCAAATGCTGCCCCACTTCAGCAATATTTCAATATTTCAGACACGCTGAGCAACAAGATTGACACTAGATGTCAGGATGTATATGTAGAACAGATGCGGTCCCACTTCAGCAATATTTCAGCAATGTGCAGGCATCAAACTGGATGCCGTGCATGCTGCTGGTCAAACAACCAGAGCAAGAAGCAAGGTTACTCTTCTCCTGCATTTTGGGGTATATTTCCTCCAACAGAAAAACAGTCTACATTTGCCCCTCATATATAATAAACATGAAACTTTGACTGAGTTTCATGGTCTCCAGCCATCATGGACTGGCATCACGTGTGGAACTGAATATGATATAGGGAACCAAACTGGTGCAGGGAAATTAGACTAAAACATACTGACATAATTTGATGACAAAATTCATATTTACAATATCACAAAATCCTAGTGAAAACCAAGAATGTAACATTAGGGTCACGGCCCCTTGACTGTCGACCTTGACCTTAACACTGAGAAGGCTGGGGTCAAACTAATTCCAAAGAAACGAAGTTGTGACAGTGTGTGTGGGTCATTGTGTAAGTGTCCCCAGGATTGTTGAGCAATCAGGGTGTTAAGCGAGGGAGGACCAGTGATTTGGGTGGGGCAGGGAAACCAGTAGTTGACAGCATGACAGTTATGCCATTGTGGTATGAAAACACACAATCTCAATCAGCCCCTTATCCCCACAAGTAGTCAAGCATAGAGAAGTGGGGACCTTGTCTGCCCTGGAATCTCCACAAGGAGAAAAGCAAGGGAACATGGAGGATCTTTCCAGCCTTGGAATACCCACAGGGAGACAAGCATGAGGTACTGGGGACCTATTCTGTCCTGTAATCCCCACAGGGAGACAAGCATGGGATCATGGAGGATCTATCCAGCCTTGGAATACCCACAGGGAGACAAGCATGTGGTACTGGGGACCTATCCTGACTTGTAACCCACACTGGGAGACAAGCATGAGGTTCTGGGTATCTATGCAGCCTTGGAATACCCACAGGGAGACAAGCATGTGGTACTGGGGACCTATCCTGACTTGTAACCCACACTGGGAGACAAGCATGAGGTTCTGGGTATCTATGCAGCCTTGGAATACCCACAGGGAGACAAGCATGAGGTACTGGGATCTATCGAGCCTTGGAATACCCACAGGGAGACAAGCATGAGGTACTGGGATCTATCGAGCCTTGGAATACCCACAGGGAGACAAGCATGAGGTTCTGGGTATCTATCCAGCCTTGGAATACCCACAGGGAGATAAGCATGAGGTACTGGGATCTATCCAGCCTTGGAATACCCACTGGGAGACAAGCATGTGGTACTGGGGTCTATTCAGCCTTGAAATAACCCCAGGGAGACAAGAATGGGAGACGGGGACCTATCCTGCCTTGGACTCCCCACAGATATAACGGTGACAGTCCTTATGATCCCACAGGTAAAGGAAGGTGTGTAGGTGTGTCAGTGCACCTGTGGCCAAGGCCAGGGTATACTTACGTCCTGTGAGGGGGTGGATGATGGTGGGGTGGGTGGCGGCGAGCTGGGGAGACTGTTGTTTAGGCTTCGTCACTTTTGTGTTGCTCTTGGCGAACTCCAATCTCAAGGTCTGAGGGAGGTCAGGGTCGAATCTTACTCCCTGAAAGAAATATATCCTCACTATTATCACTGAAAAAATCCAATTCCTGAATAAAGCACCTCCACATCAACTGATTAACTTCAATAAAAAGCTTAACCACTTCATGGTCTCTCTACAAGGTCATCAGAAGGTCAAAGTCTCACCTGAAGGTCTTGTTTGGCGGACTCGGCAGCAACTCTGGATATAAACGTGACAAATCCCACCGGCTGAAAAGTGACGGGTCAAAATTTTACGGTAATTAATGCATTTTAACCTTCAACACCACATGACCAAAAAAACATCCAAAAAACAAGGCATTGAAGATATTCGAATAAGATGGGGAAAAATTACACATCTTTATCAAATGAAGATGATTTAGAATGTAGAAATATCTTTACCTCCAACCTTTTCTATTTACATAGTGTTTAAGATATATTGTTAAAAGTACACCAACATCTACGATTTCACTCACACTGCAACTGTCTAAACACTGCTACAAGGAAATATACAAGGCACAAGGTTGTCGAGCAAGTTACTCCTACAGACACAGCTTACACTATACTCAACACTGTAGGGCTGGGACTAGTCCGAATTTACTACCCGGGTACCCAACCCCCCATTACCTGACCCTACCCGGGTACCCAACCCCCTATTACCTGACCCTACCCGGGTATTCAACCCCCTATTACCTGACAATACCCGGGTACCCACTGTAGGAATGTGTGCATCATCAGAAATGTGAACATTAGCGACTTGTAGTGTAACCACTGAGCTATAGTGAGTTTTTGTCATTAAACAATATATCACGTGACTAACCACGGGTCCGGGTAGTACTGTGGGTACCCGGGTCCTACTCAGGACCAACCCGAACTGAATATCTGGTTACAAACATACCATAGGTTGTCCAAACTAGGCACCATATTCAAAGACATCTTAGTGCCACTATCAGAGCATTTCAGAGCTAATTCCTAAGATTTAACATCCATTCCATGACATTCTGACATATTTAAGATGAAGATACAAACAGAGGGTTTTAAAGATAATCTCTTCCAGTAGTGAAATGTAAAACACTTAGTTGAACTCATCAATATAATTCTGCAGGCACAGTTGCTTGTTTTAGTCTGACCTTCACTCAAATATCACAGCTTAGCAACTTGCTTCAAACAGTTCACCCCTTTTAATAAAATTGCATTTATCAAACCATTCTACTCACACTGACAAATTATTTTAGAAACATATTTCTAAAAAAAATTGTTTTAACATTTTTTCCATTTAACAGGGCTGAGACTCTCTTATTTCCATGTTTCTCATTTCTCTGACGACGCTCGCCCAGATACAGCAGTACTTCTGCCCAGATACAGCTGTCCTTCTGCCCAGATAAAGCTGTCCTTCTGCCCAGATACAGCTGTACTTCTGCCCAGATACAGCAGTACTTCTGCCCAGATACAGCTGTACTTCTGCCCAGATACAGCAGTACTTCTGCCCACATACAGCTGTACTTCTGCCCAGATACAGCTGTACTTCTGCCCAGATACAGCAGTACTTCTGCCCAGATACAGCTGTACTTCTGCCCAGATACAACTGTACTTCTGCCCAGATACAGCTGTACTTCTGCCCAGATACAGCTGTACTTCTGCCCAGATACAGCTGTACTTCTGCCCAGATACAGCAGTTCTTCTGCCCAGATACAGCTGTACTTCTGCCCAGATACAGCTGTACTTCTGCCCAGATACAGCAGTACTTCTGCCCAGATACAGCAGTACTTCTGCCCAGATACAGCTGTCCTTCTGCCCAGATACAGCAGTACTTCTGCCCAGATACAGCTGTACTTCTGCCATCATACAGCAGTACTTCTGCCCACATACAGCTGTACTTCTGCCCAGATACAGCTGAACTTCTGCCCAGATACAGCTGTACTTCTGCCCAGATACAGCTGTACTTCTGCCATGATACAGCTGTACTTCTGCCATGATACAGCTGTACTTCTGCCATGATACAGCTGTACTTCTGCCCAAATACACATGTACTTCTGCCCAGATACAGCTGTACTTCTGCCCAGATACAGCTGTACTTCTGCCCAGATACAGCAGTACTTCTGCCCAGATACAGCAGTACTTCTGCCCAGATACAGCTGTACTTCTGCCATCATACAGCTGTACTTCTGCCCAGATACAGCAGTACTTCTGCCCAGATACAGCTGTACTTCTGCCCAGATACAGCTGTACTTCTAGCCCTCCCCCAGTGGTCCCCAGCCAAGTCGGGATGGTGAACTTCAAATCCCATATGGAATCCAGACAAAGTCTAAACATTACATTTTGAAATTAATTTCTAAAAACCCCTTAAATCCTATCTGTCCCTTCACTTGATGCTGCAGCGTGCAGCGTGATACTGATAGCGTGTTGTTGAAACAGATTCATTAAAACTTTCCTCCCAGACAATTCTCATGACCGAAAGTATTATTTCAAATGGCCATATTAATCGTTACTGTATGCGCTTAGGCAGCAGACAGATTAAAGATCATTCCAAAATGTATATTTGCGTGGTGTAATGTCTAGAAATGTGAAAGGATGTAATAAGGCACATAATGTTTAGATCAAAGGGATCTGTATGTCAGAGTCCTCGGGATGTGCCAGACCGCTCACAATAGGACAAATGTAGGATTATTACAGTTTTATTTCAATTAGGATTTTGATATTGAGGGAATTAAATACGAAATAGCCCAGTTTATGGTAAACTTCAGTGAACATTGATCCTTTAGTTTGCTTCTGATTAGGGTCTGGATTGTGTGTTGGTGTTTGGGGGTTTGGATTAGGGGGTCGTGGTTGGGGTTTGGATTAGGGGGTTGGGAGTAGGGTGTTGTGGTTGGGGCAGGGGTCCGGAAAATTTAAAATCCCAATCGGACATTTGCATTTAGGCCACGCCCCCTTCAAATAGCGTATTTTAGTACGACTTTTCACACACATTACAAGTTTACGTATTCATAATATGATGAATTATGAATTGTTTCAATTTAAATTGTTTAATTCACCGGACAATTAATAACAAATAATATCATTTTAGATTTACATGGAAAAAATATGTTTGTTTCTGTTATAATAACGATCTGTTAACGTAGTGAACGGTCTAGTTAATATTCATGAGTTATATTCATGAGTCTGCTCAAGTGTACGCGTTGTAACATTTGGATCGAGACTATTATCCCATATTTGGTTATCACGTGACCTCACGTGAAAAGCTTTTTTTAAACTAAAGATTTTTTTAAAAACAAGACAGATAATTTAATCACAAATACTAAAATATCGTTGATAGCAATAGTTATTTGAATACTTTTTTCATCTGTACTTAATTATTGACCATAATTTTTTTGGATATTGATCGTCCGAGAAAGCAAAATGGCGGTCAATCAAGATTCAATATACGACTAGCTACTGAAAACAATAAAATCTGCAAATCCTCATTGTATGTCAACCAAGTGAAAGTCGTTAGCCACGACTTACAAAATGATCGTCCAGACTTTGAGGGTTTGGCAGATCCGCTCGACTGATCTGCATCGGTCGACTGCCTGTCGTCACGCTTTCCCTTCTTGTCTGAGGTTACGTATCGTAGCATTGTGAGGATTATGAGGTACATCGATGATGCAAGGTATTAATGTACAGTTGTAAACACCTTTCACTCAAATTAACAAGATGTTCTCAGTAATTAATCCTCGATTAATCAGTGTCAACTCAGTTTATTGCCTATTACAGTGATTGACAGATTGGACTATCATGTAGGTACGATGTATTTACAGCAATCAAAACAAACAAAGCTTGTCAGTGTAGTTAATCTTCATTGTGTTGCAACTGCAGACAGAAACTGCTCAGTCCTAACTGTTGATCATGTCCGGTCAAAATTTAAGAATGTCCGGACAATTCTTTTTAAAATGTCCGGTAAGCAATATTTTAAAACGGACATTTGAGATTCCCAATCGGACATGTCCGGCGCATATGACGGTTTCCGGACCCCTGGGTTGGGGTTTGAGGTTGGGATTAGGGGGTTGTGGTTGGGGTTTGGATTAGGGGGTTGGGAGTAGGGTGTTGTGGTTGGGGTTGGGGATTGGGATTGGGATTGGGATTGGGATTGGGAGTTTGGGTTGGGGATTGGGAGTTTGGGTTTGGGATTGGGAGTTTGGGTTTGGGTTTGGGATTGGGAGTTTGGGTTTGGGTTTGGGGTTTGGGGTTTGGGGGTAGGGCTGGTGTGTGGGTGGTTGTGTTTGGGGTTAGGTTGGAGTGTCGGTTGGTGATTATGGTTAGGATGGGTGATGGGTCTGGGTTTGGGGTTGGGGTGTGGGTGGTGGGGTGTGGGTGGTGGGTTTGGGGTTAAGGTTAGGGTTGGGGTGTGGGTGGTGGGTTTGGGGTTGGGTTTGGGGTTGGGGTGTGGGTGGTGGGTTTGGGGTTAAGGTTAGGGTTGGGGTGTGGGTGGTGGGTTTGGGTTTGGGTTTGGGGTTGGGGTGTGAGTGGTGGGTTTGGGGTTAAGGTTGGGGTTGGGGTGTGGGAGATGGGTGTGTGGGTAATGGTAGAGGTATGTGTACATATGTATTGGTACTCTATCCCACCCCTATTTTCACCATCAAGGCAAGTTCATTAAATCCATCTTAGCACCAAGACTACAGCTCTCATACTCTAACAGACATTCAGTATTGGTAAGCTAGCTGTTGCAGAGATCAGCTTTAGACTTGCCCTCCACACACCTACTACACTAAGTCTTTGGTTGTTAGGGGCAACCGTAGTTGAGAGAGAAGCTTCAGATCACAATGGCACAAAGCAGAGGACAAAACATGAACTATACACACTAAAAAATACAATACAAAACATGACAGCAGCAGAACAAACCAGGAAAACGCCAGGACAGAGTATAACAACATTACTTTGTTTGTTTGTTTGTTTGTTTGTTGAGTAACGCTGCACTCAGCAATATTCCAGCTATGTGACGGAGGTCTGTAAATAGAGTCTGAACCAGATAATTCAGTGATTGACATCATGAACATCGATCGACGCAATTGGGATATGATGGCATGCTTCAACCAAGTCAGGGAGCCTGACCACCAATCCTTTTAGTCACCTCTTACGACAAGCATAGTCGCCTTTTACAGCAAGCATGGGTTGCTGAAGACCTATTCTACCCCGGATCTCCACGGGTCACACCATTACTGATTTCCGACTTCTGTACAGGGTGTGAGTGAACCCACTCCATGGTAGAACACACCACCCTACTGGATGGATGGGATTGGAGATTTTACGTGCGCTTTCCGACTGAAGCGTATTTCGCACACGGGCCCGGCCGGGCCATTTAGTGAATTTTGAAAAGGGAAACAAAGGTTTTGCAACCAGAGAGGGGGGTTTAGTTGTTGCTTATATAAGATTTTGAAATTTTGAAATTTGGAATAAGCCACCCTACTGTGTTCCTGTGGCCTTTATATCAGACACTTGTTATACCTGCACGGAGGTTATTGGTCAGGAAAAGATAACTCCCCCACATCAAACTGTATAGTACAAAGCCTGGTCCTATTGCAAGTCAGATTTCAGATACGAAGGCCTGAATGTTGATGAGAGACAGTTTGTAGACCATGGTTCAATGTGCAGATATTAACTATAAATTTAGTCTCAGGAGACGAGAGAGTTTAACAGTGCGTTATCATCGTCTCCCCTCTCATCATGCCATGCACGGACCGTGATGCAGTGATTGTAGGCAGCTTCATTCACATCCCCCCCCTCCCACCAACACCAACATGCAGAGACAGATATGAACATTTTGTTGAGAAATCTTTAATCACATGTCAAAGGATGTACAGATTGAAATTAGACATTCAAACAAAGACACCTGGAAGAAAGGCTGACAGCTGGATTACAACATTCTTGACACAATAACAAAAGACACAAAATGTTCATACAGAGCAAATATACTCACAAAAAGTAATAAGGGAATGGCTATGTTTACCAAGCTGTATTGTGCCCTGGAGGTGACTGGAGTTGCCTAAAGGGATCGGGCAATGTGATTTGCTTCCTAACTGACATGTGTTCCCTTATTACTTTACATCAGTATATGAGTGATATAGTGGAAGGAAAAAATACATAGCAAAGATTTAGATTTTTTTTTTTTATTCCTTATAACGTGCTGATATATGAATCGTGAGAATTAATTCTTTTTAGGTATCTGTTTCAATCTTTGCTAGTATTTAACCTTCCTGAGTGATCTCCCTTCACTTGCTAGACCTTTCAAACTTCCTACACAGAAACATATTTTATATATTACTATTTCATCATCATCTGATGCAATTTTACCGGCCAATGTCCCTCAAAATTTGAAAAGTCTGCATTACAGGGGAGATAACTCACAGTGACGGTGAATACTTACTGATGTGTTTTTGCCGTTTTTGTTGGTGACCTTGAGAAGTGACCCTTCATATCCCTGCAAGAATAGAAATGTGCCTCGTGACGCTACTGCAAGTCGGCTGATGCTATGAACGTGTTAATGGCGTTTGCTGGACTGGCGGGAGGTGTACCAACATGGCAGTCGATATATCTACATGCGGTGGCTCTAGCATGTGGGTGTCTGACCTGGTCATGTGACTGTGCTCATTTGTGTCGATGAAAACGCAACACTGGGTGGATTCACTTCTCCAAGAGAATCACCGCCTTTGATGCTTTTGTGCAAGTCCCTCTTGTTAAAGTATTGTCGTTTTCATGACTTGGTATTTTAGATTCTCATGCAATGCCTGTCATACTGTTAGTGTGATGTAACAATCTTCCATTTTCAAAGTTTTTCACAAAAAACATTACACTACATAGAATCCAAGAAACTTAGCTTTCTATTAGTGATATATAAACAAAACATAAAAAACCCATTGATTTACAATTTGACCACTACAATTAACATAAATTTTGATTGCAAAACATCAAACATTGATGTAGAATGAATGGATTTACAGGAGACAGTTTGATTTTTAATGTTCTGCATTCGAAGAAAGCCAGTGGTTATTTGAAAGTTATTGACAACATTTATATGACATTAATACATGGATAATAATACCGTATTATGCGATGTGAAGGTGTATGAAAGGCGTGACCTGTGGGGTGTTGAAAGCCAACTGTGAAAGTGAATACTCTGGTAGCTGGGTGATCATGTGACAGGTCATGTGACATGTCATGTGACCAAGTATGTGTGCATCCACAGAATTTCTCATATACTCACACAGTTATTTTTGCCAGGCTTCCCCATAACTTTTAATAAACCATTTTCAAATCCCTGAAAATGACAGCAACAAATGACAAACACAATGGAATACACAAACCAGTCGATAGTGCGGCTATTTCAATGGAAGGGGTTTGGTTCCACAGGAATTATAGAGGTGTGGATACAAGCTTAAACATTTAACAGTACTGGGTCAGTACCGATACACAAACCAGTGGTCGATAGTGCGGCAATTTCAATGGAGGGGGTTTGGTTCCACAGGATTTAAAGTGGTGTGGATGCAAGCTTAAACATTTAACTGAGCCTTTAAACATGGTCAGTACTAACACACAAACCAGTGGTCGATAGTGTGAGCAACAGTCAGCATGAACCGGGGTACAAAGACACCAGTCGGTTGGACAGAGTTGTGACCTCCCATTGTAGAATCCCACAGCATCATCTGCACAGGAAGTGATGTACACATTCTACCCAGAATCCCACAGCAGGGATGCCCATGAAATGTTGCAGGTCCCCTGACAACAATGACACTGTCTGCCATTCGCAACATGAAATATTTCATCGATCCATGCAATTGGGATCGATGACATGCAACAACAATGGTCAAAGAGCCTGACCACCCGATCCCGTTAGTCGCCTACAACGACAAGCATAGTCGCCTGTTACGGCAAGCATGGGTTGATAAAGACCTATTCTACCCTGGATCTTCACAGGTCTCTTACAGTTATGGAAAGATTTTGTCGCATTTATTTATATCAGATATAACGGACCTCTATAGCACCGACCCTGTCATAAAATGCATCTTATAGTCACGTCAATAGTGTTTGTGTTTAACCTGGAAGAAGCACACCATTTGTCATTTATTTTTAGTTCTCCGGGAAAAACCATGTATGGGTTCCTGAAGACCTATTCTACCCCGGATCTTCACAGACCTCCTTCATTCCATAAAAGGAAGGATACCTTCACAGTCAAATTTGATAACACTGACTGACTTTCCCATTTCTGTAATGATTATCATCAGTGGGTGTTTGTGTATTTAAAATTTGACATTTGGGGTTTGAAAAAATGTCATAGTGACGGTAAAAACAAAGACAAACATGGTGAAATGGCATCATGTATGCCAACAAAACGGATGTTGACATGAATCTGGAGGAGATACCATCACTCAACTACTGGGAAACCCCTGCAAAATATTAAGTAAACATTGGACGTTCACATCATTATCCCTCTCATCCCAACAGGGGACGCAGGTTGAAGAAGATATGGAAGTTTTTCTCCAAGGTATTGCTCGTTGAACAAAACTAACACTTTGCCGGAGAGCACTTCGAGGCATGAACTGTCAGAAAAATTTTGGCCCACTTTGGCTCATTAAAAATACACACGATCGCCAGTCCATCAAGCAGGCCAGCTTCAAGGTTTGTTGTGGCAAGGGGATGGAGGGGGGGACAGAAGGTTTTTGTGGAAGATGGAGGGACGAATCAATAATTATCGAAGGTCTTAGACACTATCTTAGCTCCATGCTTCTCACAATTGCCATGCTCCAGTCCCGCGGGGCAAATTTGCACTGCAAAAATCAATGGCATGGAAAAAGACTCTCTATGGCGAGTATTCATGCATATGCTTGAAGCACAGACAAGTTACGTGTGGAGTGAGGGGTTCACACCTGACTGGGCATCTGGCTGTCCGGGAAGACGTCTGGTCCTCCTGGCCGTCGGTCCGGGAATATCCTGGCTGCAGGTGTGCCAGGATCTGGGAGTGCACCCAAGGGAGAGATATATCGCTGCCCCATTTTATCCAGCTTCGCCAAGATGAAAACTACTCGATGCTGAGCGTAAAACTGTGTAAACTAGAACTAGAATTAAGTAGAATGAGCCGTTTCCCAAAGCTAATCCTGATTGTCAGTGGGATATACAGAGAGCGGTGTTTATGACGCGAGATGAATCACTCCAGTGCTCTCAATGAGGAAGAAGGCTGCGTCTCTCCATCTTATATCACCATGGACTAGTTGGCGTTTGACCTGCCCGGGCTAATCAATGACCTTCACCTTCAGAGTGAGTGAGTGATTGAGTATGGTTTTACGCCGCTTTTAGCAATATTCCAGCAATATCACGGCAGGGGACATCAGTAATGGGCTTCACACATTGTACCCATGTCGGGAATCGAACCGGGTCTTCGGCGTGACGAGCGAACGCTTTAACCACTAGGCTACCCGACCGCCCCTTCACCTTCAGAATAATTAGAATAAGTGAGTGAGTGTCGGGTTTATTGCCACTAAATGAGTTCGGTCTTGGCGCATCAGCTTCATGTGGATGGAGATACCTTTGTGGTGAGAGGTGTGACTATTTACCAATTTCATGAAAACCACAGACACACAAATTGTGTGACAAACTGGGATTTCAAAATGGGGTGAATGTTGGAATCGAACTCGTGATTAGCAGATCCTGGCATCTCAGGGACTCCACAATGACAACAGTTATTGAAGAAACCGTTGCAGCCTAACTTGTCAATACAAACCTCAGTATATGCGAGATCAATGATCCCCCATTAAATTTATCAAGGAAGACGTAAACCCACAGATTGTATATGAAAATTATCATCACATTGTTAGCGCTGCATGATCAATAGTCGTGGTTTCTGTAATGACACACTGGGGAGGTCTTAACCGAGGACCTACTCCAGCCTTATGTCCCATCGCGTTTTATCTTCTCCTCAGTGCTCAGTTTTTCAGTCCACATTTTAACACAACAATTTCAATTTTCCATCTTCCATTTCCTTTCGCATGTAATTTGTATTCGATACAAAACTGAAAAATATCGCCAATGGAGGAATGTCATTACTGTAAAGTGCAGTGATAATTCTAAGCTTGACATGCACTTTCCTGTAACAGCTTTTCGTGTCGACTTACATTGACATTTATTCGCAACACTCTTGAGTATATATTATTTTGGGGTAAATAATCAATAATGGAAATTCTGTTAATGCAAATGTCCTTGTCATTGTGAAACGAGGAGTACTGAACACTTTCCTCCATCACAGCATTTTGAAATGCTTGTTAACAAAGGGAGACAACTCTGTAACTACTCAGTTTCATTCGAGGGTTGGTTTTCAGTTTTGTGCATGTTTTAAAGCATAACACCCACATATTGTACAAAATAGCTGAGTGTAGCCAAAATATCAGAATGTTCATTTTCTAGAAATATTAAAAAAAAAATTAAAACCAACAATAACTTTTTCTTGTAAGGTCTCAAAAACAAAAATGTTTTGAAGTCAACGTTATGAGTCCTGAATGAATTCTGAACCCAGTGACCTTTACGTTTCATAGAAACCTACTCAAGTAAATCTGTAATTGTGAACCTTTTTTTCATTTCTCTTGAAAATCCAACCAAAAAAAGATGGTCGCCATAGCAACACACATTCCAATCTCAAATGTCTCAAAACTATATCGGTAGAATGTTGTCAAGCAGATTGTTATAGTCTCATGGGCTTACAACTGATCAATTGCAATACGTGAACATAGTCGTTCAACCACTCTTCACCAGCGCCACATCCAAACTCAAACACCAATGATCTAAATAATGCTTGTAAAAAAAAATCTCATTTCACATGGAAAGTTAGCCAAGAAATATATTTCAAGCAAGTGACCAGTTACCAGATTTGGGTAGAACTAAGTCTGGATGAAGAATCATGACGTCAAATAATGCTTCAAGAAATATAAACTCGGAAATTGGTCTAGACCTATTTAAGCGTGCGGATGTTAATGCAGAAATATAATTGGTTGCAGGACGGGTGATGAGAAGCTAGAGACCAATTATTATATGCCCGTGATATTCTTCGTCCTTAAAGGCTGGCATGGCTTTGACGTGACCTATTAATGGGAACTTCATGAATGAAAATGATGAGCAGCTTTCAGTCAAACAAGGAGCATGCTCTATCATCTTCTTTTGTATACCTCCATCTTCAACTGCTTGCTTTGTTCATCCCTATTTTGTGAATACTGGTTTTGTATATGCCCACCTTCGAATACTGGCAGTGAATACCCCCCAACTTTGAATACAGGCTGGGTATACACCCATCTTTGTGACTGTGAGTACACCCATCTGTGAATATCGTCTGAATATATGCCCATCTTTGAATACTGGCAGTGAATACCCCCCAACTTTGAATACAGGCTGGGTATACGCCCATCTTTGTGACTGTGAATACGCCCATCTTTGTGACTGTGAATACGCCCATCTTTGTGACTGTGAATACGCCCATCTTTGTTACTGTGAATACGCCCATCTTTGTGACTGTGAATACGCCCATCTGTGAATATGGGCTGCGTATATGCCCATCTTTGAATACTGGCAGTGAATACCCCCCAACTTTGAATACAGGCTGGGTATACGCCCATCTTTGTTACTGTGAATATGCCCATCTGTGAATATAGGCCGTGTATATGCCCACCTTTGAATACTGGCAGTGTATATGCACACCTTTGAATACTGGCAGTGTATACCTCCAGCTTTGAATACAGGCTGGGTATACGCCCATCTTTGTGACTGTGAATACGCCCATCTGTGAAAATTGGCTGAGTATATGCCAACCTTTGAATACTGGCAGTGTATATGCACACCTTTGAATACTGGCTGAGTATACGCCCATCTTTGTGGCTGTGAATACGCCCATCTTTGTGGCTGTGAATACGCCCATCTGTGAATACTGGCTGTGTATATGCCCACCTTTGAATACTGGCAGTGTATACCCCCAGCTTTGAATACAGGCTGGGTATACGCCCATCTTTGTGACTGTGAATACGCCCATCTGTGAATATTGGCTGAGTATATGCCCACCTTTGAATACTGGCAGTGTATATGCACACCTTTAAATACTGGCTGTGTATATGCCCACCTTTGAATACTGGCTGTGTATATGCCCACCTTTGAATACTGGCTGTGTATACACCCATCTTTGTGGCGATGAATACAGCGATCTTTGAATACAGGGCGAGTCATAATTATGGCCATCCTTGAATGTGGCTATGAATATGCCCATCTTTGAATACAGGCTGGGTATATGCCCATCATGGAATGTGGGCTTTTCCTAAGGTCAATAGGCGTGATGTGATAGGACAAACTAACAACAGTCAGTACTTTATGGAGTGAGTGAGGGAGTGAGTGAGTATGGTTTTACGCCACTTTTAACAATATTCCAGCAATATCACGGCGGGGGACACATTCTTCACACATTGCACCCATGTCAGGAATCGAACCTGGGTCTTTGGCATGATCAGCGAATGCTTTAACCACCAGGCTACCCGACCGCCCCCGAATTGCCGTGGACAACTTACACATTAACAGGTTTGGGATACTGAACTAAGGACATTTTGATAACTCAGTCACCCACACGGAATCTGTTTATAACAAGGATGCCACACAGCTTCCACCAAATCTTCGGCAACACGGGCAGACTCGAGAGGGAAAACTGCCACCACGCTCTCAACCATCAAACAAACAAGAAACAATACCCAGGGAATACCACATTTCATCTTCACCTGTCAATCAAAGGTTTCCATGGTAACTATGTCTACAATGGCAACCACTTTATAAGAATTATATTTTGTGAAAACAAAATGAAATTGGTGGTCAGGTTGAGGTTGGCCCAGCGGAACAGGCGTTAAATCGTGTCAGCTTTTTTCTCATTGTATTAGCAATTTGCTATCAAGTGGCTGGGGTCCTTGTCAGAAAGACATCCCCAAGATCAATACGGTATGAGGGACCGCCAAGTTGCTGGGCATATTTCCTCTGTGGGAGGTTGAGGAAGGCCCTCCATCACGCTGTAATGTCTTGCTTGTTGAAAAAGAGGTCTTGCCAGTTTTGAGAGGATTGGAAAGCTGACCTATGAAGGAAACATGTCCTCTCAGATGAGCCTTTTTGTCAGGTGAGTGAGTGAGTGAGTGAGTTGGGTTTAACGCCGCTTTTAACAGTATTCCAGCTATATCGCGGCGTGTCAGCTTAATGTGGGAGGAAAGCCCGAAGTGATGCAGGTCTCAGATGTCCCACTTCGGTGAAACCCACGAGGACGGGTATGGTGCTGACAAACCTAGAACCATAATCGGGGCGAACCGGGATTCGAACCCACAATCATAGGTTTCTGGCGTGCCCAAGGGACGCAATTCTGCACAGCGAATCGCGGCGCCTTAGACGACTGGGCCACACGTGCCCCCTTTTGAAAAAGAGGTCTTGCCAGTTTTGAGAGGATTGGAAAGCTGACCTCTGAAGGAAACATGTCCTCTCAGGTGAGCGTTTTTGTCAGGTGAGCTAAGTGGTAAGTTGTAAGGCGAGTGAGTCAATGTTGCTTTACATTGTATTATTCAAGTTGTATGAAGAAATTAAAGCTCAAATCAGACATATCAGTGGTCGATAGCATGAAGGTCAATATTTTCAGAGCCAGTCGTGTATGAAGTGCAGATGTCATGAAAACACAGGTAACATGCCAAGAGTCTGGCGTTCTGATCTCATTGACACACTGGCCATGCAAGACATGGCTGGCAGACAGCAAAAATTAGAGCACTGGGCCACTTGTGCCTGAAATGAAAGTCTAAACCAGTGGTCGATAGCGTGAAGGTCAACACTTTCAGGGCCGGGGATATATGTAAGAGTAGATGTGACACAGACTTGGGTACCACTTTTAGAGGCCAAAGATCATGGGCTTGAACTGGTAACCCGTTGCTGAACGCTTGCTGCCATGAGTCCCTCAGATCAGGTCGAGTTTCGCACTGGCCAATTCATGGCAAACAGTTGCCATAAATGTCACTGGCAAATCCATTTAAATACCTTTACCACGAAAACATCTTGATGGCTGGCTGACCTGACAAAACCATCACAGAGAATAACTGCCATGATGTTTTTTTATCAATGTGGGCTACATCGGCAGATAGATCATCACAAAGCCATGACAAGACCAGGTGTATGTTGTCACATTTCAGACAATGACAGTTATATCTCGGAACCTCGATAAAATTTGAAGAAATACGATGTCAACTGTGTTCACAGAGCACAGGAAGATATGTACTTCTAAACACAACATGTGTAGAAATGGACAAAAATATCCGTGCATTTGTCAAATTACTTGTATCTACAAGGGCAGTCCAGATAATGTGACGGTGTGTTCTATCTCATTATTGTCTTATTTAAACAATTTCCTTGTAGGTAGCGGCAGTAACGTTGACAGATCCAACTCGTTATATGCTTCTGCATAAATGTCAGAACGTGATATCCTTCATGTGTAGCAATCTCCAACGACAGAATTGTCAAAGACGACAATACGGCGCCGACCACAGGAGATGGCGCCAATTCCAAGACTAATGTGTCATCTATCAAATAACACAAATATCAATGAAGCTGATGCTGTACAATATTTCAAATCTGATATGCATGTGGAAATCAGATGAAAGAGCAGCTGAAGAGCACCGATGTGCAGTTCCACAAGACCCCAGTGAGTGAGTGATATTTTGTGCCAGCTAATATTTCAGCCTTTGTTGACGCATGACACTAGAAACGAGTTCACTCAAAGTACCCAGGTAATCTAGGAAACAGGAAACAATTTAGGACTCCAACAGAAATGTTTTCTCAAGGGTTGACCTCCTTTTAACCCAAACATCTTCGTCTTTTGACCTCTGCCTCCTGGCAAGGGTGAAGAAAAACCTGACAACATGAAGATGATATAGCCTTACACACAACACAATCTTGAAAGTGTCAATATCGGGAATGAAACATGGACTATTCCCATGACAGGCTTGGACTACATCCACTGAGCTATCCGACAGATGATAACGTGGGACGTCAGAGAGACAAAGTCTGGGAGGGAGGGAGCGTTACAATGGGCTCAATGCCTGGAGTCATCTATTGGGAGCATGCTGGGCTGTCTTTGGGACAGAACATTACAGAGTGTGTATCATATCCGTCGCTGTGGTTACCTTATATGCCCTGAACAACAAGTACAGTTCTCTTGGCTTTGCATCCATGGGTAGTCCGCTGACGAAGAGTGTCCGCACCTGCAAATATAGAAATAATCTCACTTAAGCACATATGGCAGGACTTCACCTGTTGTCATTATTGCAGTGAAACAAATACAAACACAGGGCCAAGTTTCCAAGTGGTGTTATGAGATTACTATATTATTAGTGGTATGCAAGAAGGATGACAAGAGTTATGCCCCTTTGTAAACGGACAGTTTGTCCATCTCACACAGTGTAGAATGTGTGATCATGTATCCTATAACTATCCTTAGTTAAGGTTTGTTTATATGTTCTTCATAATGATTTCATGTACATGTGTTTTAATGTTGTCTACAAGTGTCTCAATATTCTCTTAAGTATGGAAGTTACAAAAATCTTAGTCCTATGTTCAGCTTGTGGGACTAGAATGACATACCGTATTCGGCGTAATAAGCGCCCACGCAATATTTGCTAAGATATTGGCTTGTGAACAATCTCAATTAGCACCCCTTCTGATTGATCAATGTACACAAGACTTATTTATTCGCGTATAATACGCACTTGTGTTTTATATGCATCCTTAATTATGGGCAGTTAAATTCTGGAAACATTTATCTGTCGCACTTAAACATTTCAGGATGTCCGCATAAACCACGAAATTTATCTTTCAACTTTTTTTTCTTCACCAAAATAATATTCTAATAACAGCCCCCTATTTCTAATAATGAGAGCGCCCTGGGCGCTTATTACGTCGAATACGGTACTTAACTATGAGACAATGCACAAGGACTGCCTCCATTGTTGGAACTGATCCTTCCAGTGGATTGAAGTGATGATCATGACAAACTCAGAACACATTCTTTCCAAGTCACCCACCCCTTATGGTAAGCTCTGGACACAGTCTGTCTGAATAACCCATCTCTTCACCGACACTATAAAAGTCCAATTTGACCCTTGCCGAACTAGTCATGAATTCCGGAATTACATTTTGGCTGGACAAACGGGTCCATGCATAGTCCAATCAAAATCACGTAACAAACTAGACATGTTTATAAACAATGTGGATTTCAACATGCAGATCTCAGTCGACTGCAGGATTTGCAAAGGTTGTGTACTGTCAACTGGGCGTCGACATATATTTTCCAAATTTGTTCATGTTTTTAATCAAGGTGCTCACATGATTTGATGCACTTCACAAGGTAAGACCCGTTTTATTACAACATATATTTTGATCATCAATCAGATCGTCTTGACTGGGTGCGGCCATTTTGTTTGAAGCAAATGCAAGTGATATGAGAGGTGGAATCTGATTGGTCAATAGGAGGAACACAGAAGGGACACAACTCTTATTAGCCACTGCTGGCGCTACAATCAAGCCTGGATTAGTTCAGCAAGGGTGGGAACAGGACTTTTATAGTCAGTTAATGCCCTTGCCCCAAGAAGATGTCTCTTACGACACATTCTGTCTGAGTCACCCATCTCTTACGACACACTGTCAAGTGTCCCGATAGGCGTATGTTAGCAGGCGTCCTCAATCCATCCCCATCTGTCCCCTGTGACGATTACAATTACACCGGGGACTGAACCCTAGTTTTCTCTTTAAAAAGAAGATTACAATCCCCAAGAGTGGACACCAGATAATGACTTCTACATCCCCCAAGCCCAGTCTTATATCTCAGACTAACACAGCACAGATTGTTTCCTCGGGCTCCAAACAGCTCCATTCTGTGCAGGGAGTTTATACTGGAATAAACAACAAGACCCGTTCAGATGGGCCACTTCCAAAACTCCACCAGACTTCGCAATAAACGGAAATTGTCTAAACAAAGTATCTTGACCAGATCAACTTAAAATAGAAACAATGGCTGCATGAGGTGGCTGGAAATTGCTATCACCAATAAAATCCCAATTTTCCCCCCTGGCGGGCAGCTGGTCCCCACGCCAAGTACCATATGCAGCAATAAGGTCGAGTCATCAAAACATGGCCTCTCCCGTTAGACAGGACTTTCTGCAGTTATGGGTGTAATTTACTATAGGGAGACTGGCACAGCATCGGCGCTGGTAGGGACGTCGGTGCTGACGGAAAACACCGCCGATGTCAACCGCCAACGTTACGATAATCAATTTACACCCTGCTGTGAAGGAATCAGAATATAGTTAGACACAGCGAGGTCTATCAGAAACTGGTAATGCTAATTATTTCCAAAGAACAATCCTGCACCATCTAATGAATGCACTTTACAGGAATTTTCAGAGTGGAAAAATCTGAGTGAAGGTTTAAAGAGATTTTTTCTAATCTAATTCAATGCTGCAGCTAATCTCCTGTCGGGTGAGCCACCAATTGCATTGTGGGAAAAAATGATCAAAATCTTTATAACCTACCGAGAAGAAGACAAATGCCTTTTGAAAATTAGTTCAGTTGTTCTTAATTCCACTTCAAAATTTGAGACTTGAAGAAAAACGGAGCTTTGAATTTTTGAAAACTCCTCACACAAAAATGCATTAACTGCACATTCTTCGCACTCAGACTGTTGAAGAATTTAGAAAGATCACTGAAGTGGAAGCATAACCAAACTGAGGAATATGTTGCGCATTAATTTTACATCTGACCTTGTTGAAAGTTAAGGAGAACACTTTTAATTACAATTCCACTGAAGAATTCACAATTGCTATATACTTGCTTTCAGTAAAAGTGCTCTTTATCAAACTGCGACTCTCAAATAGAACTTATCATCTCATTTCAAAAATTCTTAAATCCTATCTTTAAACAAAAATGTTCAAACCATTATAACAGAAAGATCTTCCAATTTTTTAATGGTATCAGCTGTGAGAGTGCACAGTTCAAAGTGATTACATTCATTCTTTGTGGCTTGAAGGCCAACAGACATCCATCAAAATTTCATAATTTGACAACTAAATCGAAGGGGAATATTTTGTCCCCCGAAAAAGGACAATAAGAGGAGCAAAGGATCATTTTGGACGGAAATGAGACATCGATGATCGTTATAACGACAAGATGAAGTGCTCGTGGTGTGCCAGTTACACACAGGTGGCAATAATGGGCCCTTGGTAAATTTACAAAGACCGATTATAAGGCGCCAATGAATCAAAGACTCTCCAGAACCAGATGAAAGAATCCATGATTAAGCCAGTGTTGCAACAGGAATACACCATCAGGGAACTAAAAAATCCAAAAAATCTTTGAAAAAAGACTCTGCTCTGACAAGGAGGAGTTTTAATGGATACAAAGAGAGTTCTTGAAATGTTCGTAATGATTGCATGTTGCAAACTACTTTTACACTTTTACAATCTTTGACCAGTAGAGCCATGTTCTGAACATGTCAACCTGACTGTACCGTTGTACTGTGTATAAGCCCGTAGAAGCATCAGGTTGGCAGACAGACATTTTTGGTGGGTGGGGTGGCAGGCAGGTGAGCAGACCGGCGGGTTCGCGGACAGACATTTTTGGTGGGTGGGGTGGCAGGCAGGTGAGCAGACCGGCGGGTTGGCAGACAGACATTTTTGGTGGGTGGGGTGGCAGGCAGGTGAGCAGACCAGCGAGTTGACGGACAGACATTTTTGGTGGGTGGGGTGGCAGGCAGGTGAGCAGACCGGCGGGTTGGCAGACAGACATTTTTGGTGGGTGGGGTGGCAGGCAGGTGAGCAGACCGGCGGGTTGGCGGATAGACATTTTTGGTGGTTGGGGTGGCAGGCAGGTGAGCAGACCGGCGGGTTGGCTGATCTTGGTTATTCGGGTTAGCGAGCGAGTTTGTTGCTACCTTGATTTCCTTTCCAGCCAAGGGGGGCACAGGTGGCCCAGTCGTCTAAGGCGCCGCGATTCGCTGTGCAGAGTTGCGTCCCTTGGGCACGCCAGAAACCTATGATTGTGGGTTCGAATCCCGGTTCGCCCCAATTATGTTTCTAGGTTTGTCAGCACCATACCCGTGCTCGTGGGTTTCACCGAAGTGGTAAACGTCTGAGACCTGCATCCCTTCGGGCTTTCCTCCCACATTAAGCTGAAACGCCGCGATATTACTGGAATACTGTTAAAAGCGGCGTTAAACCCAACTCACTCACTCACTCCTTTCCAGCCAAGACAAACATCTCCACACAGATCTTACAATTATCAACATAAGACATCACCACATTTAGTTTTCTGTGAGGTTCGGAATAAGATATCTACCCATTCATCGCCATCAGTTGAAACAATACGCCATTATTAGTTTGTTAATTCCAGGCAATCAACTCAACAATCAACCAAAAGTTAAAAGCTGTTACAAGCATGTCCCAAAAAACAAACTGTCATTCAATTCCAACGGAGGTTTTAATGAGAAAAAGTCGTCAATTTCATTCAAATTGTCGTTCGCAAGTGACGAGAGCAGGACAAAAGCATAATGAGTGTCGCGATTCCCAAACCAAATTGATTTCAACTCATCCTCATCTTAACACTTTAAGATGTGAAAAGCAAAAACATTCAGAGAACGGTGACAAGTCTTTATCGCCATTGCCCATAGAACTTGTTTCTCAAAATGTTACCCATAATTCTAAAGCATGTCCCACGTCTATCGAAAGATCGGATTATTTGAATCTCTCCTCAATGAGTTGGCTGGTAGAGGGTTAATGTATGTAGTGCCCCTATGTACTGAGACTTTTTCAAAAGAAGAAGCAATGACGACGTTTGAATCAATTTCACAGACAACCGTCAATCATCGTCAGGGCAACCGTTCTCTTACAAGCTGATGGAAGCGCATAGTTTGCGTTACAGATGCATCAAGTGCATACTCGCCTGTTTGACAAGTTGTACCGAGTTACAACGGATATTATTGCATATTACAAATCAATAGTTTTCTGACATGGAAATGTTTTGTCAAATCTTTGAAATTCCTCAGACATTTATTGATGGTTTTCTACCTTATTATTGCAAAATAAAAATGAGAAAAAAGTCTTGTCTTGAGAAAGAAATGTTCTGCCCCAAACTGTTGAAGAGAAATATCTAATTTTTTTACAAAACTGTAGAGACACTTAAATAAAGATCTATAAATTAACAAAGATTTATT